TGACCGGTAATGGGATCACAACCCTTGGTGTCGCGCCCGTACCGGGACCGGCAACGGGATCGCAACCCTCGGTGCTGCGCCCGCACCGCGCTCAGCCAGTGAGCGGGAACCGGTCCATATGTGGGATCCGAACCCTCGGTGGGAGCGCCGCCGCGCTCCCAAGCGGAGCACTCTCCAGTGCGCCACCGGGCCGGCCCCACTTCTCTGATTTTTGTCTCTTGCTTTGCAGATTTTAAATGGCTCCAGAGCAAGACAAGGCTCACATGCCCGTCATCCTTCTCTGAAGCTAGCACTGTGCCTTGCCCCAAGTAGCACTCAGGAAATACTCATTGGCTTGGCTTTATTGGAGCAATATCTGCACTAAAACTCATGACTCGGTGGCAGGGACAAGACCTCGGGGTTGGGCATCAGTGCCATCAGTGTGGCTTTCTGGGTCATCTTTTCAAACAGGGTGTTCTTGAATCTATGTAATGATGTACCCATTAAAACTCCTGTAAGTAGATCATGTTTTAATGATGACTTCTGGGAGAGGGCGCTTCTCTAAACTCTGGTTTGATGGGGACAAGAGGCAGCACAGGAAAGAGGCAAGTGGTTGGGCCAAGTCTGTTACGACAGATGCTAAAAACCGCTAACAGCGCTAATGGCCAGTTTTCTCTGTTCATGTTACCACCAGGGGGCACATGGACTAAAGCTGAGCTCTTGTCCCTGGCAATGAGAGTCAAATGCCTTTTTTTCATCTACGTGGGTTCCTCTCAGATTTGAGGCCAGACTTTCTGGCACAGCTAGAAACCAGGAAATTGCCATGTGCTAAAAAAAAAAAAACTTGGTTACCAAAATCAGGAACTGTCAGCCTGACGTCTCCAGGAGGAACCAGGCAGGAACCAAGTGGTGATAGTCCCAGGCCCAGGAACAGTGGTTAAGGCACATCTGCAGGTGCCTGTAACCGGCCCGAGGGCAGTGACAGCTCTACTCGTCTCATCTTGAGCATTCTAAATCTTGTATTAGGATTTAACAGCTCTGGTTTTTGTATCTAGCTTCCCAGATTTTTTTTTTATGTGATGTATTTCCATGCTACATTTTTTTTATTTTAATTTATCAATATACAATTCTTCCTTTCCCACCCTCCCTCTCCCCCCTCCCCCCCATCAACATCATATCTGTTCACCTGTCTTAACAAGTTCAAGGACTTGTGATTGTTGTGTCTTCTTTTTGTTTCCCCACCACCCCATTAATTTGTTTGTATATTTATTTATTTTTATTAGCTCCCACAAGTAAGTGAGAACATGTGATATTTCCCTTTCTGTGCCTGGCTTATTTCACCTAATATAATTTTCTCTAAGTCCATCCATGTTGCTGCAAATGGTAGTATTTCATTTTTTTTTATAGCAGGTTGTGTAGATCCATTGTGTAGATGTACCACATTTTCCGTATCCACTCATCCAATGATGGGCATTTAGGCTGGTTCCCACGCTTGGCTATTGTAAATAGCACAGCAATAAACATGGGAGTATGGGTATCCCTTGGATACGATGATTTCCATTCCTCTGGGTATATTCCCAGCAGTGGAATAGCTGGGTCATATGCTAGATCTATCTCTAATTGTTTGAGGAACCTCCATACCATTTTCCATAAAGGCTGCACCATTTTGCAGTCCCACCAACAGTGTAGGAGCATTTCCATACCCCAACAGTGAACTAGCAGAAAAAGAAATCAAGTAAGCTAGCCCATGTACAATAGTCACCAAAAAAATAAAATACCTAGGAATAAAGTTAACCAAGGATGTGAAAAATCTCTACAACGAGAACTACAAACCACTGTCGAAAGAAATTAAACAAGAAGATGGAAAGATATCCGGTGCTCTTGGATTTGCAGCTTCCCAGATTTTAAATGGCTTCAGGGATTCCTGGATCCAGACGGCAAACAGCAAACCTGGAAGAAAACTACCTTCCTTTCTGCATTTGGTCTGTGTGTTAGTGTCACTGGTGCCCACCTGAGTCTAAAAGACCAGCTTCTGAGGAGGGCAGGGGTCTGGGAGAAAGTCAGCATCTTCCAGAAGTGGACGGAGCTGGCAATTTGAGCTGGGGAGGGATCAGGCACCTCCTCGGCACAGAACAACTGGAGCCCTGCTCTGCAGAGCTGTGTCCCAGGGCGAGGACTGGGAACAAGGGGGAGAAGGGCAGATGGAGTGTTGGGTGTAGTCATAGAATGGATCCGAGATTGAAGAGGCCCAGCCGTGCCAGACGCCGGCTGCATGAACTCGGGCTGATGGCTGAACCTCTGGGTCTGCTTCTTCATGCACTAAACAGGAAAGAGCACCAGCTTTATGGGGCTTTGCTGGGGATTAATGAGGATACCAGGTGTGAATGGGCTCTGTGAGCTGGTAAAGCTCTAGGCAGGCATGAGGGATTTTTTGTTCTCATCTTCATAATTTCAGCATAAGAACCACATCTGCTGACTGCTGAGCTGTATCCGGCCATTAGCTTGAGCTTGTGACTAATTGCTTTTTAATGAAAAAAAACAAGTTTGACTAATGTTTCATGAGTCACACAAGCAAGCATCTCTATATGGAGAATATCTCACTTTCAAAGACTTGGCCTATCCATCTAATCATAACTGAGGGAAGAGGTCAGCTGTGCTTTGCAAATCCCCCAGCAAGGCAGTAGGGTGAATAAGGTGGTCTCTGCCCTCAGGGAGCCCACAATGGATGGGACAGGAAGATCTGAACAAGCTCTCTCTGATGCTAAGCAGGGCGCAGCACCCCGTAACAGGCACAAGCCAGGGGCTCTGGGGCCAGCAGGCTGTGCCAACAACAAACATTGAGCCGGGTCCTGGACTCCAGCTGCAGTTGTAAACTAATGGCAGATATGCCACTGGTGAGACTGTGTGCAGCAGGCGGATGGCATTTGGGCTGGGCCTTGGACAAGACATAGGATTCTGCCCTGTGAGGAGGACATTCCAAACATGGGCATCAGCCTCAGTTAAGGTGCAGGAGGACAGGGCAGGGAATGCCTAACAGGGACCTGGCCCTCAAGGAGCTTTCAGTTTACTTGAGAAGAAAAGTAAAATAGAGACCATGAAAGCACATAAACATCATGTGGATATAGTCAAGGGCCAAAGGCAGGGTGTGTGTGACAGGAGATGGGGTGCAAGCTGGGGGAGCTGTATTCACTCCTCTGCCCTGTGCTGGGTTGGGCCCCACCATCTCTCTCCTGGCCTCCTCCTATCAGACCCCACCTCCTGTGACACCCGCCATCCAATCCAGCGTCCACTCTGTCAGCTGTACTCCTATAGCCCATGAAGCCCCAGTACTCCAAACTAACTCCACCGCCTGCAGGAGAAAGCCCAATCCCTGGCATGCAAGACCCTCCATGGTCAGGCCAACGCTGCCAGCCACAACTCCCATGACATTCTTTCATTTGCCCTCTGACCAAGTTACACCAGACCATTTGTCATACCCTGGATATGCCAATCACTTTAATGTGGATACATTCACCTAGCCTGACCCCTCTGCCTAGAATGAAGAGAGTGGGCTCTGGGGTTTGAATTCCAGCACTGTGATCTCAGGCAAGTTGCTTTATTGTGTATCAGTTTCTCCACCTGTGAAAAGGGGATAACAGTACCCACCTTCCACGATTATTGTAAAGATAAAAAAGTTCAAACAAGCGGAGTTCAGATCAGGTCCCAGTGCATTGCAAGCACACAAAGAATGTTAACTGTTGCTAGTGTTAATGGACTGAAACTCTCCGAGGTTTAGTTCGATGTCACTTGCATGAAGAACAAATTGCTCCTCCTTCTAGGCATGTGGGTAACTGTCATGGTGTTTATTTCATTCCCTAGTGATGGAAATTCAACAACACATGGCCATGCCTGACAGAACACCCAGCTCATACTAGGTGCCCTATAATAAGACTAGTCTGGGTCTGTGCTGGGAGCAACGGAGACTTCTTAGGCACAGCCTCTACTGTGACTGCAGTGGTCAGGATGAACTAAGTTATGCTGTGGCAACAAGCAACCCCCAAATATCACTGGCTTCAGACATCAAAGGCTTATTTCTCAGTCATGCTGTGTGTCTCTTGCCAGTTGGGGGGCGGGGAGGCTCTGAACCATGTTGTCCTCACACAGGGACCCAGGCTGACTGAAACTTCCACTCTCTGGCAGAGGGAAGAGAGTGTGGCACATAGCACACCAGCCCCTCGTACAGACTCTGCCCAGAAGTGACACACTCTGCTCACATTTCACTGGCCAAAGCAAATCAGGTGGGAAAGTGCAGCCCTGCCACATGCTCATGAGATCACGATGTGGGTGCACAGCCCTAATGACTACAGCAGTAGCCTGGTACATCTTTTGAGCATGCTGGTCTCAGATGCTAACCGGCACCTCCCGGGAATGAGGACGAAAGCAGTGAGTGGTTTGTGACTTTAGGCTGGAGAACTGAGGCCCTGGCAACTGTCCTCAACCCCACCCCATGGAGGCTCCAGGCCATGCACAATGGGAGCAGCAGCAGGACCGGTAGTTGACAAGCTGGGACTTTCCAAGGCTCAGCCCTCAGGGGGAGGGTGGATACATGGTCTGGAAAGGGGACAGAGTTCCAGCGCCATGCTGGGCACAGGGTTGGCTGCCCAGGCTTGCAGGACACTTATCTCATTTCTAACCTTACACGTACAGACTCCATCCACAGCACCCTGCAGAGGGCCGCTTCCTCCTGACAGGCAGGGCTCTCTGTCGTCCTTCAGCCCATCCTTCTCTCTCGCTGGCCTTCCTCAGGGGCTCAATATGATGGTGTCTGAGCTCATTCTGGCTGAGATAAAAACTACAGAAATTATCCCCCTTATCCCCAGGGCGTACATTCCAAGACCCCCAGCAGATGCCTGAAATAGCAGATAGTACCAAACTCTATGTATGCTATGTTTTTTCTTATACCTGTGATAAGTTTAATTTACAAATTAGGCACAGTAAGAGATTAACTATGATAATAATAAAATAAGACAATTATAACAATATAATGTAATAAAAGTTATCATTTACTGTGGCCATAACTTTAACAGTTTGAGGTGTGACAGCAAAAGCAGCACAAATTCTTTTTTCTTCTTCACAATTTCACAGATAGAAGATTCGTTCTTTCTGAGGTTTAAAGTCCACATTTATTTTGTCTCTGTCTACTGGTGAACCACGGATGAGCCTGCTGGCCAGGAGGCTGGGCTACTATTCCTTCTCTCTCTTTCTCATTTTCCACATTTACATTTGCAAACAGCTCCCAGGTAGCTCCCTTTTGGAAGGCACTGATTTGGGATCTGGTTGGTGAGTCCTGGCTACATTATTAGAGTAATGTATGTCCTGAAGGTATGTTCTCAGCCAAGACAATACCCTGAAAACAAGCATTCTTTAAAAACTGCCCACAGAACTGTTCGGAAAAAAGATGACCCAGAGATGGTGTCGGGAATGTGAATTAGGTAAAATTGGCAACAGCCCTTTAGCCAAAGAGTTTGCTGACTATGTCTCCTTCCAGTTGAGGTTTCTCTGGAGCATGATCACAGCTGCCCCAACAGCTGCATCCACATCCTGCCCAAAGGACACTGGCAAAGGGAAAGCCCTCTGCACCTCCTGCTTCAGCACCTCGTTCCTGGACAGCGCACTCCCACTCCCCATCACCCGCTCCACGCCCCACTCTTTGAGCTGCTGAAATGGAAGCATCGAGTGCAGGTTCTCAACGATGCCTCGGCACAGGGCCCGGGTCACATGGCCCAGAGAGAGGTCAGAAGGGGAGATTCTGGTCACTGAGGCCAGCTGGTCCGGCAGGTGCCTCTCCCCCAACACTGTTGGGGTGATGGTTAGGCAGGTGTCTCTCTGCTGCACAGCTGCCTGAATCATGTGTGAATACACAGTGGACTCTTCGACCTCCAGGCCTGCCAGAAACAGAGAAGACCTGTGTGAGCTGATGCAGCACCTCGATGCAGGCTGAGACAGTATAAAATTCCTACAGGGCAGGGATAGGTCTACTCACTGCCTCTCCCGACACCATGGCTGGTGGCTTCTGGGCTCAGGGTCTCAGATAGTCTGGCTAGCTATATGCTGCCCTGGACCTCAGCCAGACATCAGGGAGATATCTCCCTAGTGTTGCCGTGAGCCCTCACCCTAACCCAGGTTTCCTAACCATCGCACAGTTATGGGACCCTCGGTCCCAAGGGAGCTAAATGCATACATTGACTAATAAGTATCATCACAACTATAAGAGTCATTAGCAGCATAACAGAAATCCCAGGATCCCAGGCTAATCACAGTCTAGGCCACCCTCCTTATATGCACAGGGCACTGAGGCCCAGGGAGAAGTGACGTGGCAACCATCCTATAGCTTGTGGCATCGAGCCAGAGTCCCAGTCAGGTTTTCCTCCCCTACACTATGATAGCTCTGCATTCTAAAGAAAAAAAAAAAGAAAGGTGGCCTTTGGCTTCAATACACTCTGACCTTAGACCTTAGCATCACTTTTGATTTGACAACTTGCCATTAACTGAGGGAAAGCAAACCTGGCCTTGATAGGAAGAAAGTTATCAAGATTGGGAACATTCTACTAATGTGACACATCAGAATCACCTGAGGAGCTTTAAAAGCACTGTGGGCCCCATTCCCAGACATTCTGATTTCATTGTTCTGGGCTGCATCCTGAGCACTGGAATCTTTAAACACTCCCAGGTGACTCTTTAAATTCTCCCAGCCAGGTGGGAAAGCCACCAGCCTGGACCAGTACTTCTCAAACTTGAATGTGCAAATGAATCAATTACGGATCTTATTAAAATTCCGTTTCTGGGCTGGCCGGTTAGCTCAGGTGGTTAGAGCACAGTGTTATGACACCAAAGTCCAGCGGTTAGATCCCCATGGCAGCCAGCTGCCCAAAAGATAAAATAAAATGCAGCTTCCTGGGTAGGCCCTGAAGGCCTGCATCTGTTAAAAGCTCCCAGAGGAAGTTGCTGATGCTGGCGCATGGATCACACTTTCTGAGGAGAATTTCTAGAGCAGTGCTTATCAACACTTAAACTGCCACGCTCAAGCCCCACTCCCCCACCTCCAGGCCAAATAAATCCACATTTCTGGGCACAGGACTAGGATGACAATACTGTTTTAAAACTCCACAAGTATTTCTAGTGGGTGGCAAGTGCTGACAACCTCTAATCTAGAGAGTCACAGAGAGGTCACATCACCAGAACATTTAACTTAAGCAAATCCAACTCTACACACTCAGGAATTAGAGCAAGGGAGAGAAATAATTTCAGTATCACAGCATCTAAGCAAAATCTGAACAGCAGAATTCCTGGTTAAAGATGGCAGAATGAATAAAAGGGTCTTTCCTTCCCCTCTAGAATTTTCACTAAAATATTGACAAATTTTTTTTAAATGAGAAAAATCAACAAGGACGGAAAGTACAGGAAAGGAAATGATAAGGAATGAGAGATTTTGACACATATTTGGATGACAAGAAGCAGATACAAGTGAAAACTGACTTTTCAGAGCAGAGTTATGGGAAACTACAGTCCAGGACTCTGCAGAAAAAGGTGCCTACAAAAAGAAGCCAATTCATCTCCCATAAAGACTGGAGCCTTGGAGGCCATGATGCTTCAGAAGACAGACACCAGCGTTAGAGACAAAAACCCGTGGGACCTTTTGAACCCAACTGGCCAGTGCAGCCCAGTTGTCCCCACTTGAGAGGCCTTCATGCCAGAAAATATTTCTCAGCCTACATTTCCAGGGAATAGAAAATTCAGGCCCTGGCACTGGCTCCAGGTGTTCTGCAGACTCTGTTGGCCTCACCACATCCCACTTGCCCAAGAGGGGAAGTGCCCAGGGCCCATACATATGGCTCTGGGGACACAGAAGCAAATCCTTCATAGCCTTCAGTGTCATGCGTGTGGGCTGCACCAGCCAATTCCTCCTCAAACTGACCACAGCCGAACGCTCTGGCTGCAGTGCACGGCTCCAGTTAAAAGCTGGTCCCTAGGGGCCGGCCCGGTGGTGCACTGGATAGTGCACCGCTTGGGAAGCGCGGCAGCGCTCCCGCCCGAGGGTTCGGATCCCACATACAGACCGGTTCCCGCTCACTGGCTGAGCGAGGTGCGGGAGCAACACCAAGGGTTGCGATCCCGTTGCCAGTCCCCGGTCCGGTACAGGGGCAACACTGAGGGTTGCGATCCGTTGCCGGACACGGAAAAAGACAAAAAAAAAAAAAAATGCCGGTCCCTAAACCAGAGCAAAGACCGGAGTTTCTAAAAGGCACAAACAGCAGCTGTAAGAGCTTAAGATGACTATCTGGCAGCACCAGGAGTAGGTGGAAATGGTGGGGCAGGAACTGCTGCTTTTCTCTAAAAATCCTCCTGTATTCTTGGATTTTAAAAAATCATGTGCTTGGTGAATAACCTAGCATGTGTGTACAAGTATATAAATCTATAGGACTGAGTCCATGGGGGGCAACTGCAGAAGCAAAAGAAATGGACATTCTGCTCCCTCCTTACAAGTTGTACCAGCTTGTGCTACCGCAAAACATGTGACAGTGACAGTCTCTCCACATCCTGGGAAACAAAGTGTGCTGGTAACTTCTGAAAGAAGAGACAGAGACTGTAAAATCACCAAACTAATGAGGAAAGGGGCAAAGGAGATGAAGGAGAAGGGGAAGGAGGAAGGAGGAAGGAGGAAGGAGAAGGAGGAGGAAGGAGGAAGGAGAAGGAGGAAGAAGGAAGAAGGAGGAGGAAGGAGGAGGAAGGAGGAGGAGGAGGAAGCAGCAGCAGCAGCAGCAGCCGCAGCCCACACAAATCAATCAGTAGAAGGCAGAGAGGGTAAGGAGACATGGTGACTGAACGCAACGGTGTCCTGGATGGGATCCTGGAGCAGGAAACAGCAGAAAAACTGGTGAGATCCAAATAAGGTCTGGGGTTTAGTTTTCTTTGTTTGCTTGTTTGTTCATTTGTTTATTTGTTTGTTTTAAATAAGTGCTTGTTTTTCTTTAGTAAAAATTCAAAAAAATTTTAAGGAAAGTTTAAAATACACTCGAAGTCTTCTTCCTTATTGGGAAACACTTGGGCCATGTATTAGTTTGTTTCTGTTGCTTATAACTAAACACCTGGAACTGGGTAATTGGTAAGAAAGCAAAATTTATTGCTTATAGTTTCAGATTCTGGGAAGTCCGAAGTCCAGGGAACACAGCTGGTGAGGTGACTCTGCAGCAACTGCAGGGTGTCATGTGGCGAGAATGGCGGATCAGAGAGAGAGAAACTAACCTCCTCATTCACTTTCCTTTTGTTTTTGTTTTTTGGGTTTTTTTGGCAGCTGGCCAGTATGGGGATCCGAACCCTTGAACTTCATGTTATCAGCACCATGCCCTAACTAACTGAGCTAACCAGCCAGCCTTCATTTATTGTGTTTACCAGCTGGAGGCCTGAGAGACCTGGCTTCTAGCCCTGTATTTCATGCTTCAATATTTCCATTCCTCGTTAATAAATGTAATGCCTCTTATCTGAGTAAGTTTTATTATATTTGCATGATATTTTTTTTCACTCAAACAATGTAATTGTACAAATTTCATAAAAGGTTATTTCATAAAATGTTACATAAAAATACTAATCAAAGCACTCCCTGTTTTATCAAAATAAGAACCATGAAAATGCAAAAGGATCTTACAGAGAAATGAAATGTTTCCACCTCTTTCAGGGGTAAAAAAAACGGTCCCTTCTGTATGAAGAGAAACACCAACAACACAGTGAGCAATTGCCCACCCAGTTAAACCAGCATCTAGATAAAGGGCTTGCCTGGAGATTCTGAATCTGGTTCTGCATCTTGAAATCTTTTCTAGGTTCTTTAAATGAAGCACTTGTGAGGGGACCCAGCCAAGGGTGCAGAACTACCCCTGCAATCCTGAGGTCCCTGGCCAGCCTGGAAGGACTGCCATCAGTCAGCAACACTTACTTTCTCTCTCAGTAAGCCCCTGGGCCTTCTGTACAACTAGTACAAGCTCTCACGTGCTCTCTGCTGCCTGTGCCTCACCCTGTTACTGTGTTGTATGTCTCCTGCAACCACCTAATTTTGAGCTCCTATGGGTGACCACTGCATCCAATGGCTGATCTCCCTAGACCTAGACAGCTAGCCAGAAATTTCACTTCTACTTTAAGTGCTTGCAAAGCGAACATCTCCTGGAAGAAATAGGTTACATGTTTTGCTGCTCATGCAGAGCAAAGGAAGACCTGATGAATTCTACCCCAGGAATAAAGAAGGGAGCTGAAGGGCTTCAGAGTTTCCAGGGAGCCTTCCAAGAAAGTGAGTCAGGAACCACTCACCAGGAACAAGTGCTATGAGGCTTTTATAATGTTGTAAAACACTAGGAGTCTTTTCACTCCTTCGTGTTTGGTCATTCTATTTCCAGCTGTCTGTAATCATCAGAAGGAAAACCTTAAATGCAAGGGGCCCAGGGGCTTACTGAGAGAGAAAGTAAGACAGTGGGGCAGGGGGAAGCTGGGGAGACTGTTACGATACTCCCCAGTCAAGCTCAGGAAAAAAGGTGTCCTCCCCAAAGAAGAGAATAGATGACAGCAGCTCAGGGGGTGAGAGGAAGAGAGGAAGCTCAGATCCCTAAGGAAGGAAGGAACATGCTGGGACCTGGTGGGTCTGGGACCTGAATCTGGATGCTGAAACAGCATGTTAAGCTCTGCGACACTGCCACACAGAAAGGACAAGCACAGAGCACTTTGCTGTGTGGCCACACCTTACCTAGATCTGCCATCCACCGAACCAGCATGTGGACGAATGTGGCCAGCACATTGCCCCCATTGAGTGATGCCGCCACCCCTAAGTAGGTCCTGTCGAAGTATGGGAAGTAAGCAATGGCGGCTGCAGGATCTGGGGTCTGCGCCGGCTGGAATCCTGAAGGCATGGATGCTGCCAACTGAACCGAGGTGCTGATGTTGAGAACTGGGGACCAAAGAGAGCAGAGCTTAGGCCCATCAGGCTATTTTAGAGGTCACACATCACAACAGGCAGTGGGAGAAGGTGGTGTGTTAAAAATATGTCCACGAATTCTTTGATACTCCTCCTTTCAAGGTAGAGCCTGATTCACCTCCCCGCAAGTGTGGGCTGGACCCAGTGACTCCCTTCTAACGATCAAATAAAGCAGAGTGATGGTGTGTGACTTTGGACACTTGGTCATAAAAGGCACTGAGACCTCTGTCCTGGTTGCTCTCTCTCAGATCACTTGCTCTGGGGGAAAGCAGGTGCCACATCATGAGCAGTCCCATGGAGAGGCCCACAGGCCAACAGCCACAGAGAGAGCTCAGAAGCAGATGCTCCAGGCCCGGCCAAGCCTGATGACTGCAGCCCCAGCAAGATTGTGACCTCATGACAGACCTTGCACCAGGCCATCCAGCCACCCTCAGATTCCTGACCCTCAGAAACTGTGTAAGGTAATAAATGTCTGTTGTTCTAAGCTACTAAGCATTGGGATAATTTGTTACACAGCAATAGATTACTATTACAGAGTCAGACCTCGGACCAAGTGTTTTATTCTCTGGGGAGATTTCATTTATTTGCCGCAAGTACCACCTCCTTCTCATTTCCAGGGTATTCTTCTTAACCCCACCACCAGCAGCAGCGCGAGGAGATCTCCCAGACCCGGCCCAGAGGGGATGATTTTCTCCTCTAGTTCTAGACCACAGCCTGTGGACTACTCCAGCAGTCTCTTCTCCTCCTTTTCTCATAAGACCTGGCCAAAGCCTCCTCTTCCCAGTCTGAGACCAAACTAACTGAGATCAGCATTCAATCTTCCTACCCACTGATGCGTGAGAGCAAAGAGACCAGAAACAAGTCTCAGAAAGCCAGTAGCCTTTACTTTCTGCCATGTCAAGCCTCCTGTCGTGACAATGAACTGAAGCACTGAAGGGACAGGCAGAGGTCAGCAACGGGGGCCAACCAGCTCTGCCCATGGACAGGACTCAGTGGAGCACAGGCCAGCAGCCCCAGTCTGGAACCAGAGAATGTAACCCACCTCAGTGAAGAGGGCGCCTAATCCTACCTTCTTCCCATTTGATTAGCCCCTCGCCATTTGGAAAGCACATTTATATCCAGACACAGGGAAGCCCTCTGTAAAGGGAACAGCCTAAGATCTGAAAACTGCCAGGTACAAGGACAGTGCCAGGCTCTTTACAGGCACATCCCAGTCAATCACCACAACTGCCCCATGAGAAAGGCTTTCATCGTTGCCCTCATTTTGGATGATGACAAGGGATCAGGAAGGAGACTTGGCCTGCCCAACATCACACTAGATGAGGTGAGGTGCTGAAATCCCAACCCTGCAGGCTGGACTCCAAAGCCTGCCTGAGTTCCCTGGTATCCCTGCTCTGGAAATATGAGTCAAGAGATAGTATAATGGGAAAATTAAAGGATATAAACAGAATAAACTTAGCATATTTTCCTGGGGCATTGATTTTAGTTGAAAATTTGGTAGAAAAAGGTTTTAAACTTTTTACATCTTAAAAGATTTTATCACATGTATGCAAACGTTCCCCTGTTTCCCTCCCAGTAGAACGCTAGCCACTTCAGGCCTGTTGCTACTCCAATTCATGAATTGCTGAATGTTCAAATAAACTCTTTAAAATTTAAATGTGCCTAAGTTTTTCTTTCATCAGATCTTCATTCCCTTTTAGCTATGTGGATATGCCACGTTTTTTTAATACACTCATCAGTTGATGGACATTTGGGTTTTTTTCTACTTTTACCTATTATGAATAATGCTGCCATGAACTTTTGTGTACAGGTGTTTGTGTGGACATACGTTCTCCATTCTCTGGGGTGAATCTTAGGAGTAGAATTTCTGGTAACTCCGTGTTTAACATCCGAGGACCTGCCAGACTGTTTTCCAAAGGGGCTGCTCCATTTTACAATCCCACTAGCATGTTGTCACATTTCTAAATGATTGAAAAAAAAATCAAAAGAATATTTTATGACACAGGAAAAGTATATAAAATTGGCATTTCAGTGCCAGTGGATAATGTTTTACTGGAACACAGCTATGCTCATTCGTTTTTGTATTGTCTACCTCTGGTTTCCAACTCCAACAGCAGAGCTGCGTGGCTGCAACAGAGACCGAATGGCCACAAGGCAGAAAAATTAACTATCTGGGCCGGCCCGTGGCTCACTCGGTAGAGTGCGGTGCTGATAACACCAAGGCCACAGGTTCGGATCCTATATAGGGATGGCCGGTTTGCTCACTGGCTGAGCGTGGTGCTGACAACACCAAGCCAAGGGTTGAGATCCCCTTACCGGTCATCTTTTTAAAAAAAAAAAAAAAAGAAAGAAAGAAAAATTAACTATCTGGACCTTTAGAGAAAAAGTCTTCCAACCCCTGCCCAAGACTGCTGCCTCCACCTCACTGTGATTCTCTTACTCTGGATACAGAAAAGATTCTGCATTTCTCATCAGATCTCACATACCTCTCATAGACAACCACACAATAGCAAAAACCCTAATCCAATCACCTGTGCTCTAGGTCATGGACTTACACAGAAACCAGCCAGCTAGAGAGAACTGTTTCCCCCACCCAGCCTAGAGGAGGTATGCACAGATGGCCAGTGCTCAGGGACAGAACTTGCCGTGCTGGCCTGTAAGCTCCCTGAGCAGAGGGTTTCACCTGCAGGGATGAGGGTGTTTTTCATCCTTACAGAATAAGGATCTCCACTAGGATGCTGAAGCTGCTAAGTTCTGTATGCCCCTCAGCCCCTCACTCAGAGCTGGTGCTTAGAAGGCACCAGGGTAAGCCTCATGACAGAACAAAAGAAAAACTGACCTGCATCTGTTTTTTGGGCCATGCAAGAATAGACAGAGGTCTGTAAATCACCCATGGCCACTCCCACCTGCGTCCCCTTTGGGATTTCGAACCACACATGGGAAGTTCTGCCTGCCACGCTGCCAGGCTCAGCGATGTCCGGGAGCAAGTGCACAGGAAAGCCCGAGCCCTTCAATCTGTAAAACGAAAGTGGACACCCATATTTACCTGGTGCTTGGTTTTCTGTCTTTTTGTTGTTTCCAGGAAACTCAGCAAGGGAAAGCACTACAGGACACACACAGGAAAAGGGAGGGTAGAATCCTATGTTGTCACAAACAGCCTCTCTGGCTTTTTTAAAACCATGAGTTTGGGCTTGGTAAATTAGTGAACACTGGATTTCAGAAGCTTGGGATTCGCCCTTTCAGGGAAGAAAACGACCAGCTTAAGCAGCAGCGATTGACAAGGATTAGATAAGAGGCAGATGTCATTCTAGCCTCCTGTCTTTGAAGGGAACACAGACATTCTGCAAAAGGAGGTAGTCCAAGTTTCAGCACACAGTTAGAGTTGGTCAGCACACTCCAAACCAAAGGCAAACCCACTGGTCTCCTGACTATCAATGCATTCATCACACGGGGTTAGTGAAAATGGGGCTGTCAACTTTATAAAACATGCTAGAAAGTCCTTTACCTGAACTACCAGGTGCTTTTTGTTTTATTTCAGAGCTCAGAATATGGGCTCTGAAGAGAGTGAACTTACAGAGCACTGTACTTCTGTACCTGAAAAGGCAAATGATGGTTTAAACAGAACTTAGATGGCGTCCCTCAAGCCCACTGCCTACAGTTCTCTACCTTACTTTAAACTATACTAAAGAGTGAAAGTTGTTCTGTGAAATCTACAGGCTGGGCCCGGGCTCACAGGGAACTGGGGAACCCACCCTGGGTCTGGGTGGCAGTGGAGGAGAGAGAGGACAGCATGGTGTGGGGGATGGAGCCCCCACCCCAGGGCTTCACCCGTACTGGGCCACCCACGCCCAGTGACCGGAACAGGCCGGCCTCTAGGAACCCTCCCCCACTTCCAAACGGGAAAGCCCCACTGAAGCTCTCAGTCTGGAGGTGCCCTTCAGCCTGCAGCCAGCCTGCGAGGTTATACTCACATCTCCAAGTTCCAGCTTTGGCTCTGGGTATTGAAATATCCCCAGCTAGCAGCATTATGATCGGACATCAGGGGTCTGGGCAAGCCACACAGCATAGCCACCACATAGTCTTGGATGGTGCCAGCTGCATCGTAGGACTTCAGGAATTCTGGGCTGTTTTTCATAACAAAAACAATTCAGTGTGGGCTAATGTGGACTCTGGAAGCATGTGCTGCACCTGGTTGTGGGCACTGGGGACTAGACATGGTAGAGCTGGGTGTCAGCCACAGCCCTCATGCTGTGGCCCCCCTGGGGTGAGGACCCCCAAGCCACTCCAAGGAAAGCCAGCCCAAGTCAGCCCTAGGGGAGGGGACTCAAGGGACGAAAGAAGGACATCAGCCCTTCTCAGCAGCTCCACACCCTGACCCCACAGTGAACTCACCACATGACCCCTGGCAAGTCATGTGCCCTCTCTGTCCCCTTCTTTCTCCCTCTGGGTTAGAACTGGATAGCCAATAGAGAGCCAGTCCAGGTCTTGGGACTGAACCCCATGACAGGCCAGGCTCACCCAGGCACCATCCAGCAGGTGGAGTGATGCTGACTGGCTAGAGTTGCTGCCCCCTGCCCACCCTCATTCCCCTGGAAACCCAGCACCTGATTCAAAGAACAGCTGTCCGTACCTATTTTTCAAAAGCCAGAAGATGGTTGCACAGCCGAACCCCGTGGCCACACTGAGATGGGACTCTGGCTGGGGCAGAGACGCCAGGAACCCGCTGCTACACCTGCCATCCTGCCATGTGACCAGGTGGCTCACGGCTCTGGGCTTGAACACAGGGGCAGCCCCTCCTTCCATCCATTCACAGCCTGGAACAGAAAGATTACCAAAAATGGAGAAAAGAGCAACTGACTGGGTACTGGCATGTCCTTGAGATCACTCTGCTGGCAAGTTAACAGGAGATGTTTATCACTCTACAATAACGCTTGACTCACACATGGGTTCTAATGTCAAAGTGCCAGGGGTTGGTACTCGGCTCTACCACACAACGGCCATGTGACCCCGGGCAAGTCTCTTATTCCCTCCATTTGTCCCACTTCTTCTGTTTCTTTTCACTCATTTTTTAAGTTGCTATTGTATCTCCCTCCACCCCATAAGAGAAGACCCTGGGTACGATCTCAAGCCTACTGGTCTCTGTCCTTCTGACCCTCATAATGATGACATTACCAAGGCTTGATTCTGGATGATTACCAACTATTTCTTCTTTTCCTTTGGTCTTAGCTAATTGATTTTTAGACATCAAACTTTGCTAAGGAATCTGACCATCTTCACTTCATTTGTCTCTTGTAACATCTTCTGGATTTTTCTCTGCTCTTAAATATTTCATCCTGTTTCCAGTGTAGGTCTTTCCGTGGCAAAGTGTCTGGAGGCCTATATACCTCAGAATGCTATTTATGTTCTTATATATGAATGACAGTTTGATCAGTTATAACATTCTAGGTTAAAAGTTCCTTTCCTTCAATGCTTAAAAACACTATTTTAAAAAAAAATCCAGGGCCGACCCTGTGGCACACTCGGGAGAGTGCGGCGCTGGGAGCGCAGCAGCGCTCCCACCGCGGGTTCAGATCCTATATAAGGATGGCCGGTGCACTCACTGGCTGAGCGCAGTGCGGCCAGTCACAAAAAAGACAAAAAATAAATTAATTAAATAAAATAAATTTTTAAAAAATCCAGACACATTGAATAGGTTGAAAAACTAAAATGAAATTAAAATTGTTTTTTTAAAAATCAATATTTGTGGTAGACAGCCACACATTCTTTGCTACTCCTCCCATTAAAAGATGGCATCCAAATCCTCTTTCCTTGAATATAGGCTGGCCTTGGTGACTTGGGGAGGAAGTGATGTCTTAGGACTCCAGGGCTAGGTGATAAGAAATGCTGGAGCTCTCCCCAAGCCTCCTGAGCACTCACACTGGGGGAAACCAGTCTCCAGGTAAGAAGCCCAACCACCCTGCTGTCACCCTGCTGGAGAAACTTCATGGAGAGGTTACATGAGGCACCTAGCATATCTCCAGGTGAGCCGGCCTTCCAGCCTTTCCCACCAAGGCACCAGGCATGAAATAAAGCTGTCTTGAACCTTCCTGCCCGGACTGTCCACCAGATGAATACTAACCCGCAACCTCTGCCAGCTCCTTGTAGAAGAACCAGTCAGCTGAGCCCTGCCCAATTTGACCCAAAAAATCATCAGATATGACAAAATTAGTGGTTGTTTTAATGTGACTGAGTTTGGATGTAGTTTGTCATGCAGGAATAAATAATCAAACTACTATCTCATTGTCTTTTTACATAGAGTGCTGCTGTTGAGAAAAACCTAATGTCAATCTGCTCCTTATTTTATATGGGATCTGATCTTTTGCTCTCTAAGCTTTTGGAATTTTCTCTGTCTTTTAAATCCTTAAAAGTTCACTAGAATATATCTAGCTGTGGGGTTTTCCTTCTCTCTCCTCTTTGACACTCTATGGCTGTTTCAGTTCAGTCTGAGGTGTTCCATCTTATTTTGTCAACAATGGGAAATTGTTCTCCATTATTTCTTCAGCTATTTCTTCCTCTTCACTTTTATTTTTCCCTTTCTGAGTCTCCTATTATTCAGATCTAATACTTCTACTTTTATGCTCAATATCTCTTAGCTTTTCTTTTATATTTTCTTCTTCTTTGTCCTTTCCTTCTTCCTTCTGAGAGATTTCCTCAATCTGATCTCTTATTCTCTAATGTGTTCTGAAGTCTTATCCATTCTGCTATTAATCCCACATACTATATTCAACTATTTCATTTTCCATACCTAATATTTCTGTTTGGTTCTTTTTATGTTTTCTTTTGTTGTGTCCTTGTTGATATCTTTCTTTAATATCATTTAGTGTGTCAAGCTAATTTTAAATTCTTCATGTGTCCATTCTAATAGTTCTGCTTCTGATAGATGCTCCATCAAATAACCCAGCACAATGCTTTCCTTGTGAAATAGTTATGCTCTTCAAATGTCTAGTTATCCTGGCCTGTGAGCTCATTTTCCCCTGGAAATATTGGATCTACTTTGTCAGGCAGTGTAAATGGGTTGGGCCTCAGTTCCTGTCAGCTCCAATGAGCTGGGGTGGATGGATGAGTCCTGGGGTGGATCCACAGGTAAACGCACAGCTAACCCATCCCCACAAAACATCTCCTCAGGTCAGGGTTCCTCTCTGTCCCCCAAGAACCAATAATGTTATGAGGACCTTTAGAGTAGAGGTCACCTAGAGTTTGAGGAGGACACCTGCTTTTGTCCACCGACTTGATTTTTGTTGCTGTTGTTGCTGGCCAGTATGGGGATCTGAACCCTTGACCTTGGTGTTTGTTATCAACATCACACTCCAAACAAGTGGGCTATCCAGCCAGCCCACCACTGCCTTGATTTTATCTCTGAAGATACCTGAATTCCTGTGGGTGTGGGGACAGGCACCACTTGTTCCAAAGCCATGATGAGCCAGGGAAACCAGCAGTTCCCCTCCTGGTCTATCCCCCTGTAGGCAAGGCTGGCTGCCAGACCCAGACCACCCACCCACACACACCAGCTCAAAAGAGCCCCGTCACCCCAGGGTTTCTCATGATGTTCTCCCCTTTTCTGGTGTTTTTCTCTTAGAATTTCCCTGAAACTGATCTTGGGGGGAAGAGCCAGCAGACAGGCTAGGTCAGCATCTTGTGGCAACTGCATCTGGAAGTCCAGAGATAGAGTGCACGTGTGACCCTGTTTACCTGGATCCCAGTGGCTCTGCCTCTGTGTATTGACTTTACTCTCAGGCTACTCACAAGGGAAAGAGGTAGAGTTAGGGTTAGGGATGTGTGTCGTGCAAAGAATTGTGTGTATTAAATGAGTTAATACATGTAAAGCATTTAGAATAGTTACATGGCACATAGTAAGTGCTCAGTAAATGTTAGTGAAGATGATGACGATGATGAACGTTTAACTTCTAAACTCTGTCCATAACCAAGACTTTTCCAGCAACCTTTGAGAAAGAGGATGTAGCCCCTTACATACCTTTTGTTCTCTCCCCTCCTAAAACGAATAATGTTTCCTACACCTCCACACAATATGAATACAACCACAGCAACAGGATGCAAAAAGAACGCTGACATAAAGTACCAGTGCAGAAAAGTTAACAGCCGCTGAGCACACTTCAGAGCTAATGGATGGAGATGAGAATCTAGTGTCCACTGCAGAAATGGTTCTGCCATGAAGCAAAGCAGGGCATATGTCACATAAAGCTGTTTCATGGCATGTTTGATCTCAGATCCCAGATTTGGGAGCCATAGCCATTACATTTTCCTATAACCTTGCTCATTAAGAACGAAAGAAAGAGACTTACCTGCCCCTCCCACCTTGGTTCCAGGCCATGAAACATGTATTCACTTATTCATGCATGCATGACTGCATGATATATTTACTGAGTATCTAATATGCATTAGGCACTCGTTCTAGTCGCTGAGAATACAGCAGTGAACAGGGAAAAGTCACTGCTTTCGTGTAGCTTATATGCTAGGGATGGAAACAGACTATAAACAAACAAACACATAACACCAGGTACTTTTAGTTGCCATCAAGAAATGTATAGCAGGGTAACAGGGAAGAGAGTGACAGGTTGTTGGGGGTGGTCATGGAAGTCCTATCTGGGATGACAGGTGAAGAAGGGACTGAATGGAGTAAGGGAGTATTTGGGGACACATGTCACAGGTAGATAAAACAGCGAGGGCAAAGGCTTGCAGGGATCTTATCAAGCAATCTGGTTAGTATTCCAGGCCAGCACCCAACAGAGCAGGGAGGCATGTTACAGGTGAGGGTTTTGGGATCATGCACCTGAAACATTGGCTTGGTGTCATATTGTTTCACTGGTGGTGGAGGGGAGACGGGAATGGGGAGCTACCCGCTCAGAGTATTCTACCCTCACAGCTGTACTTCTCCCTAAACCTAAGCTGGGATAAGAATCCCAGCTTTTTTTCAATCCTTTATCTGCTTCCAAAACTCTCTTGATCCCATTTTTTTTTAAATTTTGGACCATCATTTTTATTACAAAACAAAAACAGAGAGCTTACCATGTACCAGGTATTGTTCAAACACATTAAAAATATTAATTTACATAATCTAGATAATTATAGGGTAGATGTGATAATTATCCCCATTTTATACAAAAGAAAAATAAGGCATAGAAGTTTTAAAAATTTGCCCAGATTTAAAAAGTTTTTTAAAAGTTTTAAGAAGTTAGGGTGCCCGTGGCTCACTTGGGAGAGTGTGGTGCTGATAGCACCAAGGCCACGGGTTCGGATCCCTATATAGGGATGGCCCGTGGCTCACTTGGGTGAGCGTGGTACTGACACCACCAAGTCAAGGGTTAAGATCCCCTTACCGGTCATCTTTAAAAAAAAAAAAAAAAAAGTTTTAAAAAGTTCACACAGCTAGTAGAATCAGGATTCAAATATAGACAGTCTGCTCCAGAATGTGACCTGATGGATATATTCTTTTCCTTCTCCCTTCCTTCCTTCCTTTTTTTTTTCCCTTTGTCAAAGAATTGATATCTTTTTAAGTTTTTAATGACACAAGTGATAAATGAATGCATTCTCAACATAAAATGCTCAAATATTACAGATAAAGCAAAGGCCCCACTTGCTCACCCCCCACCTGAGTCCCCACTCCCTTCTCATCACGGTTAGTACTTGTTGGTAACCCTTGTGGGAAAGCAAAATATTTCAGCCCAAAATATATTTATACTTTGACATATTTCAAGATAGCTAATTCAGAGAGACTAGAAACACTGGAAGGCTAATTGTCCATGGAAAGAAATTTGCATCTGTAGAGAAAAATATGCCAGCAGCCAGCTTTCCGCGGAGCCTCTCCTTCAGCTACTGTCTTCTCTTTCTGAAGGCAGCTCCAAGATCCTATCTGTAGAACAAGCCGTCTGGCTTTAACTTCTGCTTTCCTTCCGGTCTCAGGCCCTGGCCCTTCAGGCTTCTCCCTCCCCCACCTCCCATCTCTCCCTGCAAATAAGCTTCTGTATCCTCTTTGATTAGTTGGGAAATTACTCTCTTGAGATTTCCCTGTGCATTGCCCCTCCCCAGTATGTTAAAATAGTAAAATTTGTTATGCCTTTTCTTCATGTTAACTGAATCTTAAAAGGTGGTTTTTGTTTTTTTTTAGTGAACCTTCAGGCGTGAAGAGGAAGATTTTCCCTTGGCCCCAACACCATCTAAAGTTTTTACAGTCACACAACATATTTTGCTTTGTGTAGTTGATTTGGGTGTGGGTTGTTTGTTTTTGGCAGCTGGCCAGTAGGGGATCCGAACCCTTGACCTGGGTATGCAGCTTTTTTAAGTCTATATTTTTAAAAAGTAGTACTATACTGCACTTACTATTCTAGGGGTTGTTTGTTTTGGTTTGGTTTTGGCAGCTAGTCTGTACAGAGATCGAACCCTGGACCTTGGTAGGGGTTGTTTTATCATCCAATAACATGTTCTAGAGTTTTTTCTATGTCAATACACATGAAGCATGTTCTTTTTCACTACAGCATATCATTCTACAGCATGGGCCTACCAGCGTTTATTCAAGCAGCCCCCTACAGTTAAACAATGCCTTTTTCACTATAAACGAGGATGCACTAAATGACCATGATTGTACCTCCTCCTGCACACACATGTTCAAAAGCACTTTTCCTGATCATGGCAGCTATCTTATATTTAATAGGTCCCGCCAACTCACCCTCCAAAACAGCAGCACTAATTTACATTGCCAGCAGTGGTCTTTAAAAGAACCAATTTTCTGCCCCCTTTGCCAACCCTTGAGATTACCAAACTTTTTGATTTCTTATAATCCACTGGGAGGAAAATGATTTCTCATTGTTGTTTTCATCTGCACTTCCCTAATTACCAATGATATTGAGCATCTTTTCCTATGGTTATTAGCCATTTGCATTTCCTCTGCTAGGAATTGCCTATTGGTATCTTTTGTCTATTTATCCTAGGGCCACCTGTCCTTTCTTAGTTACTGGTTCTTACACTCATGTGTACTGAGCCATCCTTTGTCTACTATACACTGGCAAATATTTTCTCCCAGTCTGCTGCTTCGTTTTATGGTCCCCGCTGCTTTGTTTTATGATCCCCATTTCTCTCCTGCTTTTACTGAGCCTGAAAATGGAGTCTGGAAACAGGCATAACCACAGGCCTCTCAGAAGACACTAATCACTCCCTCTCCTCTCCAACCTGCTTGCCTGTGCCCTCGTTGAAGCACTTAGCTCTCTGCTCAAGTTACTGGTGCCCTTCTGTGTTGACTGTGTTCTGGAAGGCAGAGGCTTCATTCCCTCACTTCTGTATCTCCCACAGGGCCCAGCACAGGGCCTTGTACACTGTAGGTACTGAAACCAAACTGAACTAAGGCCACCATTAAAAGTGGCATGACTTAATCCCACATATGATTTCACTCGACTCCACTGAGCAGGGATCATCATCAGCAAACAGTGGTTTTCCTCCTTCCCAGAAACAGAAAATAAGGCAAGAAGGCATGTGGGCTGGCTCAATGAAATATTAAGCAGCTCATTCCAACAATGCGGCTGATGGTTTGTGTGGTTGTTACAGAGTCCAGGAGACGGGCAGAAAGGAAGGCGTGTGACCAGACCACAATCATTAGATATCTGCTGTCCTCCTTGGGAAGGGTTTTAGTATTAAAAGGACATTTATTCTCATTAATGCAAAATTAAGGAGTTTAAAAAGCTTTTATAACCCAGACTCCCTCGGAGAGGTCAGCTCTAACACCCTAATCGGCCTTCTGCTCCTGCTACTGCTTGGAGCCAAGCAGCTCCCACCAACAGTCCCAGCTGGCCCGACAATAGGCACACGAGAGGGAGTGGAGGAGGCAAGAGCCTGTGCTGGCTTCTACAATTAGCCAGCCCCGTCCCAGGGAGTGACAAAGGATGCGTCACTGGACACCTGTCACCACTCAGCCCAGAGGACAGAAAAGATGCCTCTCCAGACAGAAAGGGGTGAATCCAATGTTCAAATCCTCTTAACTACATCCCCCAAAGTAGTCATCCATCCTCTGCTTAAAACACCTGTAGTCAAATGTTGATTTTTGTTGAAGCTAGGTAATGGGTACATGCTGGTTTATAATACTATTCTGATATAACTATAAAAATTTTTAATAATGAAAACAAAAATTTTTTTGGAGTGCCTGCCATAACAGATAGCTCACGACTTCCTTTAAGAGCCCAATCCTCCCTTGGACATTCTGTGGACAAGTCCCTCCTTTCACTGAGCCATTGTGCCTTCCTATAGTTCTGGTCCCCCCAGAGGCCTTTAAAAGCTCAGTGTCTGAAGTCAGACAGACCTGGGTTCAGAAGCTGGAGTCACCACTCACTGCCTCATGACCCTGAGCATATTATTCTAACTTCTCTGAACCTCAACTTCTCACCTGCACAAAAGTGACAGTATTGTAACCTATGTCATAAGGTTGTTGGGAAAGTTCAATGAGGTCATGCAGGTAATGGCTTCGGCCCAGCCCCTGGCATGTGAAGTGTTCACTGTTGTTTTACTGGCTTAGTTTTCCTCCTGAGGCCAAACAGAACAGGTCACCCACCTCTGCAGACTTTCATAAGAAGACTGGCTGAATAATGCTTAGCACCTGAGCCCATAAAAAGGATACGCCCTGGAATTCAGAAATCACAAATAGGTGTGATTAGGTAGACAATGGAAACTATGCCCAAATTCAAGAATTTCCTCGGAGTCTTGGCATCTCCTACAGCTACAGCTAATCTCTTGGTTGTCAGCACTAATGTTCTGAGGCACAGATACAGGCAGAGAAAGCTGTGGAAAACCCACTCTGCTAAATCCTAGAGAAGAATCGAAGAGGATTCTCTTCCTTCTACCTGTTCATGGATCATGTGCTGATGATGTGTGAGTGGAAAAGACAGGATGCACACAAAATACAGGAGGTAGCATGTGTTCTTTCACTCAAAGGAGCAAAACACTATTCCCACTGCAGGATAACCTGACCCCTTCACAGAGAGCCCTTTGCTAGTTCCCTAAGTGACTGTCACCAGCATGAGACCATCCCCTGAGTCCAGCATACCTTGGCTTGTTTTCCAAAACACGACTCCATGCATCTGTCCTGACACTCCGATGCCCCTGACTCTCTGGAGCTGCAGCCGGGGAAGGGCAGCAAGGCACTCGTTCAGGGCTTGGATGATTCTACTCACATCCTGCTCCCGCCCCTGGAAACAGAACAGGACATGTTGGGCAGGGGCAAGAGGGCAGTCCTCGAGGGATTTTCTGGGTGGTGGCTGCCCAGCTAATCCCACTGGGGTCACTTCCAAGACCTGCTGATCATGGGCCTCAGAGATGAGATGTGGGGATGAGGGATCTCCACCACCTCTGCAGGGCCTGGAGTAGGGATGTAGTAAGCAAGGCCCACTCTCTGCCTCACTCTCAGAGGAGGTTCAGCAAATGGGTCAAGCTCTACCCCGCACTGTGGCCAGTCTGAGCTGAGACAAGCACTGCTCCATGCTATAAACAGGAGAAATAAGGGAAGGGTCTTCCACAAGCACATACAGTGGTGGGGTCGGGGAACACGGCAGGGAGGAGCTTGCAGGAAAGGTGTGGTCCAGAAAGGACTAAGGGACTAATGCGCCTTAGCAGGAGCTGTTCGCTTTCATCCATTCGGGCTTTAGTACATCCACCTGGCAAACATTTTCTGAGGGCAGGCCCTGGACTTGAAACCAAAACCCACATAGGGAAGGTGGGCAAGGAGGCGGCCCAGGGAACACACAGGGCACAGCGTCAGTGAGGCTGGGCTGTGTGAGGGGCCGGTGGGAGAGGAGAGGCCGGGGCCAAGCGTTCTTCCTAAAGTAAAGGCGAGCCCCTGGGACTTTCTGAATGGGATAGCATCACCATCAGAGCTGTGTTTTCAGAAGATTAACTGGGCAATGGTATGAGCTACATAGAGGAAGACCAATCATGTAGAGAGATTTTCCAGGGGTGGAAAAGAGACTGAAGAAAGTCAGGTGCATCCTTTCCTGATTATCCTTTTCTTCTGACTTCCTCCCTCCTTGAAAACTTCTCTAGGCAGAATGACCTTGAAAGACAAAATTATGACAGATAAGTGAAATTTAATCAAATACCATATTAATATCTGTAAGAGTTAAGTGGTCCTAAGAGATTAGAATATGAAAAGAACACAGGATTTGGACAAGTTAAAGATCTTCGGAGTCAAGCAGGGAAAATGCATTTTGATATCTTAGAGCTAAAGAAATGTCAAATCCAGTCAAGTGGTATATCCAAGTGGGAGGGAGTTACAGACTCAACTTCAAAAGTAGGCAGTGATGTAACACAAACCTAAGAAATCTGGGCTCTACCTCTTCCTTTAAATTATTAAGTCCCTGTTAGAGACAATAAATAGGACCAGAGGGTCCCAACCCATTCCAGTAGATGCCTCTAATCAGTAAGAAATCTCAGTAAGCTAAGAAGGCTGACACAAATACCTACTTGGGAAAGCAGCCCAGATGACATATTTGTTTTCTAGGTAAATAAGTACATCTCAAAGTGGAAAGATCAAGAGTTAAATATATGCATGTTTAAAAGAATAATGCCCATGTTGTTAATATTCTTGTTTAAGGAATCTTGAGGTACTTAGCATTTTAAGTAAATTTATATGTTTAAGAGATTCTGGCCTAGGTTACCTTTGTAACTACAATTTAAAATGTGAAATTGAGTACCTGATCAAGATTTGTGATATAAGTTCAGATCTCACTATATTTATAAAGGGATTTGAAACATATAAGAGCATTTAAGGTTTACATATGTATACATTTATTTGATTTATAAGAATTACTTAAGTATTCTGAAGAGATTTAAGTCAGACAACTGCAGTACCTAAACAAGAAAATAGACTAAATGCATAACTGCAGTTTAAAACATCTAAGGTGAGGGCTGGCCAGTTAACTCAGTTGGTTAGAGTGCAGCATTATAACACCAAGATCAAGGGTTTGGATCCCTGTAACAGTCAGCCACCAAAAAAAAAAAAAAAAATATATATTTAATTATATTTATATATATTTAATGAACTAAAATTGGGTTAAGTATTATTCAAAAGCTCTCAAAAGTGATAGTTAAAATGTTAGACTTATACAGTATAAATATAATAAACTTTATAGGCTAAATTAAAAGTTTAAGTAAGAACTAGGATCCTCAATTTTATAGATTACTTATTTTGATTACATCTAAAATAAACTGTTTCTGTCACACAAAAATCATCTCAAGGCACAAAATAAATTGATATTTAATAACTAGAAGGATCCAGAGAAAGTTCAGGAGAGAAATGTGCTTCCACTCTCAATAAATATCAGTTCTTTGGGGATTAACTAAAAAACCTATGCTCTTGGAAAAGCATCCCAAGACTGTCCTCGGGCCCCTTGCTTCCCTCTAGGAGTGCAGCCTTCCCTCCTTGGAACAGACCTCTCACTGGCCCCTGGCAGCCTGCTGGCCTCGGTCAGGGGCAATTCTTGGCTCCTAACAAACCTGAACAAAGGAGCAGGAAGAAGGAAGGCGAGGAGGGTAGGATGGCTGAGGGAGTGGAGAGGGAACACAGAGCACTTTCCTAAGGAGGCAGACCCGGATCCTAACAAGGATTCTTTATATGTAGGAGAGACAACTGCCAAAACAAGGGAGCAGTAAAAGACAAAGAGGCACAGAGGAGGTACATGGCTATGCATGATCCCCAGAGGGGAAGAAAGAACACAACAGAGAAGGAAGAAGGAAGCAGAGAAGAGACAGTTGTCTCCTGCACTGCTCAGTGCTGCAGTCATCAGCCACAGGCGGTGAGTCTGAACTGAAATGTGCTGTGTGTGTGAAATACACACCAGATTTCATATTCGGTACAAAAAAGAGAATGTACAATATCTTATTAATAACTGCATATTAATAATTACATGTTGAATATACTAGTTTAAATAAAATATGCAATTAATATTAATTTCACTGTTTCCTTTTATTTCTTGTAATATGGCTACTAGAAAATTGAAAAGGACATGCATGGCTCACATTTGTGGCTCACATTTCTATTGGACAGCGCTGGCTTAAAGAGTCCCCACATAGCTGTCAGGTGGTGCATCCTCCTAGGACAGAGGAGGTGCTGTTTAAAATGGGCCTGGGGCTGGCCAGTTAGCTCAGTTGTTTAGAGCATGTGTTACAACAGCAAGGTCAAGGGTTCAGATCCTCATACCCGCTGCTGCCAAAAAAAATAAAATAAAATAAAATGGGCCCAGGGTGGGTGAGTGGTGTGTGTGGCGACAATGGAGAAGGGAAACGGGCCAGATGGGAGTAAAGACAAGGAGGCAGTGTTCAGCTGTTAGCTCCAGTTTCAGGGGTGGGTGTGATCAGGGAGTAGCTCTTGGACAATGAGAGCACCCACAATGAATATTAGTCGGCCTACATCCAGACCAAATCCTAGAACTGTAGACTTGAAAAAAGTGCTTAGAGGCTGGCCAGTTAGCTCAGTTGTTAGAGAGCATCGTTATAACACCAAGGTCACGGGTTCAGATCCCCTTACCTGCCAGTCACCAAAAAAAAGTGCTTAGAAACTCATTTAACCCTACTCCCCCATGCCCCTCTTTACAGGTGAGGAAACTGAAGCCCAGAGACGAAAAATAATTAATAAAAGGTCACAGAGCTTCCCTCAAAAATCTTACATTTTAGATTTGCAGATACCTAAAAACCTGATCTCCACATAGCCAAGCTTGACCTTGGTATACATAGTACTTATGGTGAATGAAAAGTATGGACACGAGGGGCTGGCCGGTTAGCTCATTTGGTTGGAGTGTGGTATCGTAACACCACGGTCAAGGGTTCAGAGTCCTGTATCGGCCAGTAGCATTGAAAAAAAAAAAAAAGTATGGACATGAGGCAATAATAGAGCCATCAGGCATTGCTATAGGTTGGTGGCCTCACTTGTGGGTGACTTTGTTCCTTAGTGGGCATTTGGCACTGGGGAGACATTTTCAGTTGTCACATCTTGAGGGGGTTGTGGGGAGGCAATGGCATCTAGTGAATAGAGGCCAGGAATGCTGCTAAACACCCTACAATGCACAGGACAGCCCCCCACGACAAAGAAGTATGCAGCCCAAAATGTCAAAAGTGCCAAGGCTGAGAAACCCTACTGTAGATGAAATCACAGCAATGCTTTTTGTCCCACAGCACAACCCACACGTGGCAGAGGCGGGAGGCGGCTATTACTGGCCTACATCAGACCCCTTATTAGGAAGGTGTGGCATAATGGGTGCACCTGAAAGCACAGAACAGCCTGCTAAAAGTTGAAGGAAGTGAAGAAAAGTCATTTTCAAGAAGTGGCCCTATTTCAAGAGAAAGGGGGCACTGCCTGAGCCCACTTCCCTACAATCCCAGGCCTCCTGCTCACCCCCACAGGGTCAGAGCCAATTTCCCTCCATTTCTCAGTCCATGAAGTGAAATAGTCATTCTAAAATACCCTGATACCTCAACCAGATGAATTTTGAAAGCCTCTATGAAAATGCAAAGTCATCCTGAAATCTTTATCCTCTGAAATTTTTCTGAGCAAAATGAGCTCTGAACCCTAAAGAACTGAGTCCAGCCAGATATGTGTCAAGGGCTTGTGAGAAACAAAGCTCTTGGGAGTGGATGGGGCTTAGCTCAGAAAAATCAAGGTTTGAAATACTAATTTAAGAAACCAAAAAAATAAAATAAAATAAAATAAAAATCAACCTTTGTGGTTAAAAAGGGCCTTAGAGGCTATTTCAACTTAGAGAAGAATAAGCTGAACCCAGAAAAAAGTCATGAGGTTACACAAAGAGTTCTGTGGTTTTAATTTCTATTGCCAATTAACTGAACATAGAGCTACTTTTTTCAGGGAATTAATGGGACCCAGCTCTGAGGACTGACATCTTTTCTGAACCCACCTACACCTCCCAACAGTCTATTGCCCTGAAATTCTCCATTCCTTTTTTTGGCAGCTGGCAATTATGGGGATACAAACCCTGAAATTCTCCATTTCTGTCTTGAAGCTTTCTCAAGCCACTAGTTCTGGTGTATAATTACCAATCCGATCCTTTATAAAAACATTTTAACTTATCTCTCAATGTCTCTATCTGCTCTGACGTCTTTCCTCCAGCGTGTCTCAGCTCTTGGGGATGGGGAATTTTTGCTGACCAAGTGAGTTTCTCAGTCCACATTCTGCTTCTGCGGAATGAGAAAAGAGCCGGGTAGGCCTGATTCTGCAACTGATTTCTGGAGGAAACCTCAGCTCCTGCCCTGGGGAACAAACTGAATCCTGCACTTGAGGGAACAGGGCAGATGTGAGGAGCAGAGAGCCGCACAGGAGGGAAGCCTGGGATCATCCCGTCTACACAGGAGAGCAATGCCTCGCAGGTCAGGGCACAGAGAGTGGAGGGCAGAGAGCACAGAGATCCAGCACCAAGGGCAAGGCCCGCAGGGGAGGCCGGAGAGTGTGGAGATCAGTGCCAGCAGGTGGGAAAGAAAGCTCCCGGGAGGAGACCTAACAGATCAGGCCGAGGCCCCTGGAGGCAATGGGGGCAGGCGACGTCAGACAGGCTGGAGCAGTCAGGGAGGCTCCTTGGCGAAGGGAGCTGTCAGGGAGGCCTCCTGGAGGCGGCGCGGCTCCAGGGCGCTGCCTCACCTGGGGCCCGGCCGCCGAGCTCTCGGCCGCCGCCTCCGCCCGCGCAGCGCGGGCACAGCTCGCCAGTACCACAAACCCGGATGGGTCGCCGGGCGCGGCCTCCAGCAGGGCTGCCTTCACGGACGTGGTGCCAAGGTCTATGCCGAGAGTGACGGACCGCGCGGCCATGGCCTTGGAGACCGCTGTAGCTCCCGCCTGCTGCCCGAGGCGCCCCCGCCCGCGCGCTTTGCCCGGGAGGGCGGGACTTCGCCTGCTGCCAGACTTTCAGTCACACCCCCAGGACGGCTTCTCGTCTTCCTATTGGTCTAAGAAGGCGGCCTCCCACACACCCTCGCGGCGGGCCCCGGCTATAGGTGGAGAGGAGGTGGAAGGCGGGACTAGGGGGCCCCCGCCCCGCAGGGCGAGTTTCCTGAACTGTGGGTCGCTGTCCGAACCTCGCTCACCGAAGGAGCGCGGGGCTCGCCGAAGGGCGCTGGAGGCTCCGAGAGCCTCTGTGTCCCTAGAAGTGGCTCCATCCTCCCTCACGTCAAGACCTCATCCCTACCCACCCGCTCCGCCCCGACCCCGCCCCGCCCCGTCCGCGGCTAAGACTCGCGGAAACTACAACTCCCAGGGCGCAGCGCGCCGACATCTGTATTCCACGAATCAGGTGGCTCGGGTCAGGTGACAGCTGGCCCGCCCTCACACAAAGTCAAGCCGACCCGGGGAACCCGGTACTTTACGGAGCTGCACCCGGCGCCACATTCCTGCGTCCCCCGAGCCTGGGAGGCTGTCAGGTGAGAACCAGCGCGGCCCGGACAGCCTCCCCCCGTTTCCCAGGCGGACCCCCTGAGGCCCAGAGACTGGCTCAGCACTTCGGCGGGACAGACTGTCGCGGACCCACCCCCCCCTCAACCGCGCCCGGGTTCCATCCCCTGCCACCGGTCCCGGCTTCGCGACACCAGACAGCCCCCAAGGTCCAAGGGCCCGCGTGGTGGTGAGCGGAGGCAGGGACACCGGGCTGTCGGGGCGGAGCGGGTGGCTCTATCCCAGTGCTGTTCCGAGCCCCCTTCCCGCCACCTGCTCAGTCCCCACCTGAATCTGGGTCGGGGAGTTTGCGGATTGCTTTAGAGAAGGGAGACGCTGAGAAGACCATTCCTGGATCTCCTGTTGACAGCTGAGTATTGGGCAGGACGATACGCTACCCTTCCCTCTGCGCTCCGGGGTTTTCAGACTGGACGAAGGAAGGACACTTGGGCCTTGCCTTTGTCAGTAACTTTGAGGAAAATAACAACCTATGCTCTGCGAGAACTTGCTAGGTGCCCTAGGCAACAGTAGTAATTACTGTGCATCATTGTTTCTCAACCTTTTTATCTTATCGGCCCCCTCCCCACTTCCCATTGCCTCCCACATGAGATTTTAATACCACTGATAAACTCTGCAGTTACTTATATACTGTGGCCCTTTGAAGGGCTAACCCTAACCCTAACTCTAACCCTAACCCTAAGATTTTTTTTTTCACCCCACAAAAGCCAATTACAGCCCCAGTTGAGAATGCACATCTCATTTAAATCCTGAGAGGTATTTTATCACATTCCCTGTTTTCCCATTAGGAAATTGAAGCTTGAGAAGGTTAAGTAGCACCCCCAGGCCACACAACAAATAAGTGGGGAGAGCCCAGGTTGAAACCTGTGCCGTCTGTCTCCAGGGCACACGTTCCTTGCCACTCTCTGTTTCACCTCTCCAGAAGCAGGAGACCCAGGGAGTTCCAGGTTATAAAACAGGACAGGACTACCCTGGCAGACAGGAGCTGCCACAGGAGATCCCTGACCCCAGTTTACTCCTGGGAGGGGAATATAGGAGTGGGAGAGGCTTCTTAAAACAAGTGACATCTGAATGATGTTGCTTTGTGTTGCTTCTCCCCCCACGGATTTGTCACCCCACTTCCCCTGGGTGATGGAAACGCAAAGGATTACTCAAAACCCATCTCTTCCGAGCAGTGAGAAGCCCCGAAGTGGGTAACTTCCCCGGGACCCTCCAGCAAGAGGCATCCCTTCCATTTGGGAAATTAATGCTGAATTGGGGTTCTCTTCCTGCATTTATTTTCCAGACCAAGAAGTTACAGGAAGAGAACAAAGGTGGAGTTATAGTTTAACAATATAGGCAGGTAACTTGCAGTGAAACAAGTCAGATGACATTCCAGTAAGGCAATTAAGTGGTCCTATCAACAACAGTTTTTTTTGTTTGTTTGTTTTTTTGTTTTTTAAAGATGACCGGTAAGGGGATCTTAACCCTTGACTTGGTGTTGTCAGCACCACGCTCAGCCAGTGAGCGAACTGGCCATCCCTATATGGGATCCAAGCCCATGGCCTTGGTGTTGTCAGCACCACACTCTCCCCAGGGAGCCACGGGCCAGCCCAACAACAGTTTGATCTTAGCAAACATTCCTTCTTAACAGCAATTTCTCAGTATCTTTACATAACAATCAGCAACTAGTCTGTCTTTGAGCCAGCAACCTGCTGTGCCACAATTCTTATCTTGCACCAGAGACTTATAGCCTGATGAAAATTTCCTGTCCTTGCAAGGTCAATATTTGAAACTGCAAGACTTTGGAAAACCAGGCCCTGTGAAGTACATATGCTTTTTAGTATATTCCACAGAATGAGGCCTGGAAGATAGTTACACAGGAAGAAGGGCATGCCAGGCAGAGGGCATTGTCGTGAAATACTCCATTTCTTTCTTGTAGCTTTCACAAGCCACTAGTTGTGTATAATTATCCTTTTTTTTTTTTTTTTTTTTTTTTTTTTTTTTTTTTTTGTCTTTTTTTGTGACTGGTAACGGGATCGCAACCCTTGGTGTCGCACCCGTACCACGACTGGCAACGGGATCGCGACCAGCAACAGGATCGCAACCCTCGGTGTTGCACCCACACCACGCTCAACCAGTGAGCAGACCGGTCTCTATATGGGATCCGAACCCTCGGTGGGAGCGCTGCCGCGTTCCCAAGCGCCGCACTCTACCGAGTGCGCCACCGGGCCGGCCCATGTGTATAATTATCAATCCAATTTTTTTTTAACATTTTAATTGACTTGTCTCTCAATGTCTTTCTGTCTGTCCTGGTGTCTTTCCTCCAGACTGTCTCAGCCTCTGAGTCTGGGGGACTTTTGCTGACTAATTGTTTTGAGTTTCTCAGTTCACATTCTGCTTCTGCGGAATGAGAAAAGAGCCGGGTAGGTCTGATTCTGCAACTGATTTCTGGAGGAAACCCCAGCCCCTGCCCTGGGGAACAAACTGAATCCTGACCTTGAAGGCACAGGGCAGATGTGAGGAGCAGAGAGCCGCACAGGAGAGAGGGAGGCCTGTGATCATTCCGTCTACACAGGAGAGCAATTCCTCGCAGGTCAGGGCACAGAGAGTGGAGGGCAGAGAGCACAGAGATCCAGCACCAAGGGCAAGACCCCCAGGGGAGGCCGGAGAGTGTGGAGATCAGTGCCAGCAGGTGGGAAAGAAAGCTCCCGGGAGGAGACCTAACAGATCAGGCTGAGGCCCCTGGAGGCGATGGGGGCAGGCGAGGTCAGTCTGGAGCAGTCAGGGAGACTTCCTGAGGAGGGCAGAGGGGAGGTGTTGGGAGGCTCCTGAAGGCCTTTGGGGAAACTGAAACCAGAGTGGGAGCAGAGATGTTCCCATTACAGACCTCCCCCAGATCTGCCCACCATTTGCAAGAACGCTCAGAGGCTGTCAGGGGTGGAAGGACCTGAGCACTGAACACTGAGGCAGTATGTAGAAACCAATTTCCAGAAATCCATGCTGACCTGCCCAGTCTTGTCCCCTGGCCACCTGCTGTGCTATGGGATTATGGGTGTGCAGCACCCTGTCTCCCTCCCTATGCCAGTGAACTGTTCCAGGACTGATCTGGCACTTATCCCTCCCTGAGTTCTCGTTGTGAGTGATCTTTGACAGTACTGGATAGTTGACGTTGTCAAATTAAAGTCTTAATCAAGAGTCAGTTGGTGTCATTAGCTCTAGATTCTTATCCCAGAACAGGAAATAAAATTAATTTCCTTAAGGTTTATAAGTTCACAAAGTCAAATATCTAACCACAGTTGTAATAACTTTTGGGGGGAAAAAAGAACCCGAAGCCAGTGAAACTGTATTTTTCTTTCTGTTAACTAGGTTGCAAAGAGCAGCTGAAGAGGGAAAAATGGAGTCTTTGTTCATTTCCTCAGGGTGGGACCTTACACAACCCATGTAGTTGCCCTGAGCCCATTTGCCCATACATCAAAGAGAGATAGGTCCTCTCCAAGGCTCCTTTTCTGAGGTTGTGATGTAAAGCCCGTGAGGTCAGAGGTGTGAGAAAGTCCTTTATGAGCTGTCCCATGCCATGGTTCCAGATGGCACATTGTCCACCGGGAGCTGAGCTGATTCATCTTTAATGTGAAATTCTCTTGCTGTTTGTGTTTCTTCATAGTTCTGAGAACCGGGGAACATGATAAGGAATTGGCTGATTATTTTTATCCTTTCACCCCTGAAGCTCATAGAGAAATGTGGTAAGTTTAGAAAATGGGTCGTCACCTTTGTGAAGAGGGAAATTGTGGCTATAGGAGTGGATTAGTCTGTTTGTGTTGCTACAACAGGATACCTGAGACGGGGTAGTTTATAAAGAACAGAGGTTTATTTGGCTCACAACTCTGGGATGGCCGCATCTGGCTGAGCCTCAGGCTGCTTCTACTCACAGCGAAAAGTGGCAAGTGGCCGGCGGGTACAAGCAGATCTCATGGCGAGAGGAAGCAAGAGAGAGAGGAGATGCCAGGGTCTTTTTAAAACAACCAGCTCTCACAGGAACTAATAGAGTGAGATCTCACTACCTGCCCCCAGGGAGAGCATTAATCCATTCATCACTCAGCTCCCAACACTGCCACATTGGGGATGAGTTTAGGGGGGACAGTATCATTCAAACTCTGTCAAGTAGTGAGTAGCCTGACCTGTTTGTCACCAAGGGTTTAATACTGTCCAGACCCCATGTGTCTGCCACCCCTTGGCCAAGTGGCTACTGGGATGATGGAACAGACCCAGGTCTGTGGTCCTGGGGTTTTACAAAGAGCCAGATGATTCCACAAATAATTGGCCTTCTGCCTTGGTGTCCCTGTTATATTTTCTGTATCAACAAAGTGAACAGTTGGTTCTTAAAGTCAGACTGTACAACTGGGTCTTGAAATCAAACTGTGGAGCCCCGACAATCTGGGATAATATCTGTAAAGAATGGCCTATGCCCCTGCCCTGTGGACCTCACAAAAAGAGTCGTGGGTCCTGGAGGCCCAGGGGAGGCAGATGCAGCAGCCACATCTGAGGAGTGTGCCTGGCATCCCCTTCCCATAGAGAAGGCTGAGGAGCAGTGTGCAGCAGCCCCAGCAGGGCTCGGGCCCCACAGAAGGCAGGCTGGTGTCAGGGCATGCACGTCTTTGTAGGAGGACTGATCTTTGGAGCAGGCCCTTTGAGGTCTGCATCATCCTAGCAGTTCTCCCACTGCCCAAAACAGTTCTGGAATTCTTTCCATGAAGAGCTGTGTTTACACTCCAGGAGTGCCAGGCCCATTATTTTAATCATCGGCTTGGCTGTTGTCAAAAATCACATACATCTTAAAATCCTTAAGATTTCAGGTGCACCTAGTACAAACAATACACGTTGCAGAAGTTTCCCAAGAGCCACGCACAGTGGCTGCACCACTGCAGTTTTCTGGCCTCTTGAATCTCTAAGGAAACAGTGGTCATCTGATCATCTCTTCTAGGTTTGTTAAACAGTCAGGCATGTTACTTTGCAGTTACACTTGTGGATAAGAACTTCCTGAGAAATGAAAGGTCCTTGAGACCCCAGAACCCAGTGTTTCTCAATACAGAAGCCAGAGCCCCCCTCCAGCCCTACTGGATCATATTCTCGGGGACTAAGGCCAGAGCGTGTGTGTGTGTGTGTGTGTGTGTTTTGTTTGGTTTGGTTTTTTTTGGCAGCTGGCCGGTACAGGGATCTGAACCCATGACCTTAGCTCCATTAGTAAGCTAATGCATTCCCCTATGAAAGAAGAGAAAATCCAGCTACCACCATGCCAATTATGCAGAGGGAAACTGAGGTCTAGAGAGGGTAGAAACCTTCCCGAAAGTCACAGAGCTGGAAAGTAACAAAGCTAGGACCAGCATAGGATCCCTACTTCATTACATATGCATTGCTTTGCCTCCTTCCTGAATGTCATTACAAAAGAAGAGTGGACACTACTGTAAAATCAAGTAACTGGAATGGGACTTCCGGCCTCCTTCTGCTGTGCCTTCCGTCTCTTTGCTTTGGGGTGGCCCATTGAAGACCTTAGGCGAGCTGATTGGCCTTCAAAGTTTTTGTCTTTGAACTTCTTCGGGTGCAGTCTTGAGGCAGTGCAGTCTAGTGGCAAGAAGCTGGGCTTTGGAGCAGACAGGCCCAGGTTTGAATCCTGCTCCTGCCATTTTTGAGCTGTGTGGGCAAGACACCTTTCCTCCTGGAATTCTCAGTTTTCTTATGTCTAAGATAAGAATAGTAATACCTACCTCCCACTGTTGTAATAATTAGTAAATGGAAGTTAAGAGTAGAGCAGAGTGGGGTGGCTGGTTAGCTTAGTTGGTTAGAGCATGGTGTTATAACACAAGTGTCAAGGGCTTGGATCCCTGCATTGGCCAGCCACCAAAAACAAAGAAAAATGAAAAGTATAGCAGAGTGGCTGGCATGGAGGGTTGCAGAGTGGGAGAGGTGACAACAAGCATTAGATTAAAAACAAAAAAACAGACTCTCTTTGGGGAAACTTGGGGTGATCCCATTATAACCCATTTGATCATTCTGATGTGGTGTACAGAGGCTTCAACCCCAGAGCAAATGTGCTTTCCCAGGATAAGATGCCACCTTCCTAACTGCCTCCCATCTTGGGCTAAAAATGTCTTGCAATTATTACATGAAGATAATAATAGTTACCAACAATTATTTAGCACACAGGCCACATGGAAAGCATGTTACAAACACTGCTAAATTTTGTCTTCACATTGGCCCTGTGAGATAGGTCTTGTTATTGTCTCTATTTTATAGGTAAGGAAATAGAGGCTCAGAGAGGTTAAGTACATTACCCGTGGTCACACAGCTACGAACTATCAGAGCCAGGATGGAATTGTGTGACTTTGGAGCCCAGTGTCTCAATTGCTGAGCGCTGCCATCTTCTGTGGTGCTAAGTGAGGGGGAAATAAACATTCTCTGATCTGGTTCTTTGAGAGTTCACTACCCGCTTTTCAAATGCAAAGACTGTGGAAGAGCTAAGGCCATGTGGCTCTCCTCCTCACTCTGACCACCATCCGAGCTGAGCCCTGGGCACCAAGAGGTATGATGACTGCCTGGCATCATTTTCAGCATCCCTATCTGTCCTGAGCAGTGGCTTGTTCTGGGACTTGTTTATCTGGTGTGGTCTTCGACTCTAGGTAAAATATAACAGGCGGGGACAGTAAGTCCTGCCCTACCACAGCTGTGCAAGCCCAGAACAGAGCCTCAGATTGATGTCACAGCAGTGAGTGTGAAAGAGAAGGGCAGAGTTGTCAAAGCTGCTTCCTGGCCCTCAGGCCACACGTAAGGAGGGGACCATCCTACTCTGCTCTGAGTAGCTTGGCCTCTGCAAGGGCTGGGGTGGGGTCACCGTGCTCTGAGGGACCCAGCGGGAGGGGAAGAGGGCTGGAGACTGAGTCTCAGCCTAGGGGACTTACAGACTTAGGACAGAGCCTCAATCTGCATTCACACGGGCAGAACTGGTATTAGAAGGCAGCTCAGACATGGTCTGAGACGCTCCAGGTAGCAGAGCTGGGCCCAGGAGTACAAGTTTCAGGCTGGCCATGTCCCCTGGAAGAGAGGAGGTTACTATCCCTGGAGGTGTCCAGGCAGAGGAAGAGAAACTACCAGGTGGGAGTACTGAGAAGGGGAATCAGACAGAGGAGACTGACTTGGGTAACTCAAGTTTCCTTCCAACCCGAGCATCTACAACTTCAGATCTCAATTCTTCATCTTCTGCCTTAGAGGGGTCTGGGCAGAGGGAGCCCAGATCATGGCTTGGATTCCTTTGTGATAGTTTCTGGGCTCCATAGTTCTCCAACTATCTCTGGGCAACACAGCCGCAGTCCCTCAGAGCCTGTCCATGGAGGGGGAGGAAGAGGCTACAGAGCTACAGCGTGTCCAGCTCAGGCTATGTCCTCCTCTGTCCCTGTCTGGCAGCAGATGGGTAAGAAGCATAAAGAGGGCTGCTTTCCGGTCCCACCACATAGCCTCTCAGCCACTCTGTGTCTTCTCCTAGAAATCAGGGGCTGTCATCAGTGAGTCAGAGCTCATGAGGTCGAATGTCAGGGGCCTTGTCCCAGTGTCTGTTCATGGGCCTGAGCTCTCTGACCTGATGACTCGTCACTTATTTGGGTCCTTCCAGAATCGACCATCAGCCTCACTGTTCCTCCCGTTGTGAAGCTGGAAAATGGCAGCTCCACTGATGTCAGCATCACCCTTTGGTAAGTTGCCAGGCCCGGCTCTGTCTTCAGCCCCACGCGGACCCCACAGCTGCGTCAGGGCTGAGCCCTGGCTCAGTCAGTTCATATTTCAGACGTGAGGCTCTTGCCTCTTTTTTTTTTTTTTTTTTTTTTTTAAAGATGACCGGTAAGGGGATCTCAACCCTTGGCTTGGTGTTGTCAGCACCACGCTCAGACAGTGAGCAAACCGGCCATCCCTATATAGGATCCGAACCCGCGGCCTTGGTGTTATCAGCACCGCACTCTCCCGAGTGAGCCACGGGCCGGCCTGCTCTTGCCTCTTAACTGCAAGACAAGCCATAGAAAGAAGTGGTGCTAGCCCCGGCTGCAGAGCGAGCACCCAAAGTCTGACCCCCCACTGAGTCCTTGCTTCTCCTGGGAGGATGAGGAAGGGCCGCTTCTCCCCAGAGGCATGAATGAGCCCTTCCCCAACTGAGAAGAGTGACCAGCAGTCTACGCCAGTCTTCCAAGTAGTCCTTCCCAAGTCTAAATATTTGAGGAGAGCCCCGAAGGTCAAGGGGCAAGGAGCTGAGCTGATGGTCAACCCTTCTGAAGTTGCTTCTAAAAAGCAGAAGTGACCGCATCGAGTGGATCCCGCTCATGGATCCCGCTCATGTGATGCTCATGCTTAGCCTTTGTCTGAGAGTCTTTCTTGCTGACATCTGCTGTTTTAGGCATGAGGGTCTCGTCCTAGTCCAGACTGTGCCAGAGAGCCCACCTCTTCTGTTCCCTTAGCTGCTTTGTCCTGCTCTCACCTCCCAGCCTTAAGGATTCACTGAAATGAAGATCTGGAACCCTGTCCTTTTCTCTATATTCCTCTCCCCTTTCCCTGCCTCTCTTGGGGGTGTGACATCACATCAAAGCTTTGGTTCCAAGCCCCCCAAGCGGGCCTGTCATTCCAGCCCCAGCTCCTGCCATCTCTGTACATCGACACCTTGTAAATCTCACTTGTCAGCCTCTTACCACAACTCTCCCTTCTCCAGAATCCAACTTGAGTGAGTGGCTTCCTGCTGCCTTCCAAGTGAACTTCAGGCCTCTAGGCCCAGATGTGAGGATCCCCCAGTTGCCCCAGCCAGCATGTCCAACTTACCCAGTCAGAAACATCTGCTGGCTTTCCGGGGACACACTGCTCCCTCCTTGTACCCTGTCTAGAAGGCCCTCACCTCCTCAGGCAATCTGACCTTCACACAAATTCCTGCTCACGCCTGACCCTCTGGGAAGCTTGCTCACCTCCCGTCCCCCTCCAGCTGCTCCTCTGGTCTCTCACAGCCAGTTTGCTACCTTCTCCCATTTTCTCCCCACCCCAAAGGGAAATCTAGTCTCCTGAAAAAGATAGAAAACACCTAAGGAGCAGGGATTCCACCTCTCTGCTCTGCAGGGTTGAGCACGTGGCACCTCCTAGCCCTAACTGCTTGAGGAATGAAGGCCCAATGTGAAACCCAGAGGGTTGGTGGAGATCTCACAGCGTCCCACTTCTCTGCAGTAATCAGACTCTTGTCTTCCACAGGCATCCATTAAATGCAACCTTGGTGATCACTTTTAAAATCACATTTCGTTCAAAAAATATTACTATCCTTGAGCTCCCTGATGAAGTAAGTAACAAATCTTAACTGATGGGTAGAGAAATGCTGGGTAACACCACACATTTTGATTAAGAGCTTGTGGAAACAGGTCACCTAGGCTGCCCCTGTTCCTTTATTCTAGAAATCTATGATTTGGGCTTTGTTGGTGTCTTTGGGGATGAGTGTTTTGTGCCATGTTCATGAAATTAAGAAGGTGTTAGTGAGAAATCTAAGAAAAAGTGGTTCTGAGAATGTAGATGCTTTTCGAGTGGCTTCCTAAAACCTTGCAGCACGAAGGGCACTCATAGACCAGCAGCACTGGCCTTGCTTAAAAGCCTTTTAGAAATGCAGAATCTCAGGCCCCGTCCCAGACCAACTGATCCAAAATCTGCACGTTAGCAAAATCCTCAGAGGATCTGAGGCCACATTAAAGTTTGTGAAGCGCTGTTCTGAGGCGACATTTGCTATGGCCCTCGAAGGATTCTTCATACCATGTGTTCTGTGAATGGCTAATTTCTGACAGTTTTTCATTCCATATTTTTCTTGGAGCTGTTCTTTTCTTTCTATTTCCATTGCTCCTACTCTAGCAAGGACCACTTCCTCTCATATCTGTCTCCAGATCTCCAGGCCATCCTGCTACCACACTGGTCCTCCTAAAGTGCCACCTGCTCTGTGTCATTCCCCTGTGGATCCCGACTGCTTTTAATTCTCCCCACTTGCATTCAAGGACCTTCAGAAATTGGCGAGACTTACCTCTTACTCAACTCGTAACTGTTGCCCTTGCTGGACAAGGCTGTGTTTCATCTCTTATAGATGCTACGTTTATTTCTGTTGTTTCTCTTTTGCTTGTTGTTTCCATATCTTTGCCTATTTATATCACACCATCCTTTAAACTCCATCTGAGATTTCACTTTTCCACAGTGCCTTATTTTGCTAACTCTAGTTTTATAGTGGCTACCTACAATAATTTATTTTTATGCTGGAAATTTTATCTTTGTTATATAAAAGGATCACAAAACTTAACTCATACTACAACTTGAATATGAAGATAAAAAATTTTTTTAAATTTTTGATTATAAGAAAAAAAAATAAAGTTTGTGAAGTGCTGTTCTGAGACACTATTAGTTGGGTGTCCTTTCCAAAAGCCAGTACCAGAGGCTGTCTGCTATATCAGTAATAATTACTCATAGCTTTATGCATTTATCTATTTGTGTGTACCCTGCTTCCACCTTACAAAGGATTTGAGCCAGTCACCATTCAACTGGACAAAAAAACATCCATAAAGGTAGCAGCAGCTCAGAGGGAAAATAAGAATTTAAAAAAATGAACAAGATGAATGCAAGTCAGTTAGGATGAGTAACTTCTGGTGACCATAGTTAATAAGAATGTACTGTATGCTTGAAAATTGCTAAGAGATTAGATCTTAAATGTTCCCACCACAAAAAAAATAAGTATGTGAAGTGACGGATATGTTAAGTCGCTTGATTTAATCATTTCACAATGTATACATGTATCAAAACATCACATCGTACATATGCCTGTAAATATTTCCAATATTTGTCAATTATACATCAAACAGCGGTGAAACACGATCAGTCTCAAGAGTTTGGAATCTGCAGTCTGAAAAATATAACATTGCTGAGAGAAGAGTCTCAGAGCATCCAGCTAAAGGGACCTGTATAAGAGGCAAATCTCGTCCCCGGGTTGACACGTACCTCACAGGCTGCACCATTTCTCACAGGCTGCACCATTTCTCACAGCTGCCCTGCTGCCTGCCCAAGGTGCAAGGCCAGCAGGCAGGGCAAGGAAAGCCAATGGTTCCAACAGCAGGTTCTGGCTCACAGCCCTCTGAGGTCTGATTTGCCCCACTGAACAAATTTAAACTCTTAAAGGAATGGATGCCACTTGGGTTAGGGCCAAACATCCAAGTGAAAATATCATCATTTAAAAATAGGTGAAAGTCCAGCATAATGTGTTAAGCAAAAGAAGCTTGACACACAAAAGCCCAGACTGTACAATTCCTTGTATGTAAAACAAATCTATGATGTTGGGCAGGGCAGCAGTTACCCTCAGGGTCAGGGGAGACTGGACAAGAGCAGAACAGGGCTTTTGGGTGTTGGAAACATTCCATTTCTTGATCTGGGAATTGGATGCATTCAGCCTGTAGACATTTCATTAAGCTGTGATGTGTGATGTTATAGTTCAATTTTTTAAAAAATTTAACGTGGGCCGGCCCGGTGGCGCACTGCTACAGTGCGCCGCTTGGGAAGCGCGGAAGCGCTCCCGCCGAGGGTTCGGATCCCACATACAAACCAGCCACTCACTGGCAGAGCAAGGTGCGGGAGCAACACTGAGGGTTGCGATCCGTTGCCGGTCACAAAAAAAGACAAAAAGGAAAAAAAAAAAATTTAACAGTGGGAGTCAAACAAACTGCTTGTATAAGATGACCTTTATAGGCACCAACCCACCTTTTTAGGCTCGTGCCTCACTCCCCTCCCAGCTCTGACCACTCTGACCCACTATCTGTGACACTGGAAACCATTGGTTAGAACTTGGGAGTCAGGTGGTCCAAGAGCCTGGCCTGTGAGCCTGGGGTAAGGTACTTCCCCCGACACAGAGCAGTTTCTTCATTTGTAGGTGTGGGGTTGATAATGTCTACTTGACAGTGTGATAAGGATCAAAAGCAGTAGCAAGTATCTAATGTCCAGGATTGTACCGGGCACATAGAAGACACTCAATAAAAAGTAGCAATTGTTATCATTTCATTCTGCCTTGTATTGACTGATTTCTGATTGATCGATTTTCTCCCTCCCTATTTCCAGAAGGGATTTAGTGACCACTTACAAATATGCAAACAACATTGCAAGGAAACTCTATTAAAAGAAAGAATTGAGGTGATGGGAAAATAAAAGAGCCAAGAGTGGTGCATGTCATGAAGACATAGCTTGTAAGACATGGACCATAAATTGGACTCCAGGCTTTGCAGTAGCCACTAACATCATTTCAATTGTTCTGCCAAAGCCCCCTGATTTCTGGTGCTAAGACCAAAGAGGCAGTGTTTCAGGGGTCCTCATTAAGATGCCACTGTAGTCTAATGAGCCACATCTTCATGGTACCTGCAATATGGATGAAGGGTGAAACTCCAAGAATTATCTAGGGAGCAGACAGGATGGGGACAGGGGACAGTTTGGTTCAGTAAAGATAACAACCTGCTGCCTGCCACTCTGGGGGGACTTGAGAGTATCAAGGGGAATGATTGGAAGGTCAGATGTTGCAGGAAGGCCTCCAAGTATTTTTTCTTGGAGCAGAGCTTTTGATAAGTATTGGGCAGAAATGAGGGAGAGAATGTTCTGGTGTATGCACCTCTTCTGTTTCATCACTGGGCAGCCAGGCTGGGCATGAGGCAGATGGACTTTTGTGGATACTGAGGAGCCTCCTGGTAATAGTGGCAGTAGAGGAATTTGTAGTTGTCCTAGTGTGGTCGTGATGACCCTTACAGCTTGCTGTGTGCCAGGCTCTGTAGTGTGGGCTTTATGGACATTATGTCACTCATAGCAACCCTGTAAGGTGGACACAAGAGCATCCTACCTTCCCTCTGAGATAAGCCAGTGCAGGGCCTAAGGACAAGGCCATAACTCCAATCAGAAAGTCTGACACAGAGATGTAGGGGGCGCAAGTTGGTTGGTTGTCCCTTTGGCCAGTAAGCTCTTGGGTGTGATTTGGCCCTCCATCCCCTAGTGTGTGGCCTGGAGCCAGACACTCAGTGAGGTCCTTGATAACTGTACATGGCATCAGATTGATTTCATCTTCCTATCAGGTGGTGGTGCCTCCCAGAGTGACAAATTCCTCTTTTCAAGTGACGTCTCACAATGTTGGACAAGTTACCACTTATCTGCAAGGAAATCATTCCAACCAGACTGGGTAGGCTGCCCCAGCCTGCATGGGCCCTGCATGCGGAGGTGGGAGGCAGTGCCGGGCACGCAGGGTTCTCTTCAGAAGCCCAGCCTCAGCTCATCTGTCCCCAAATTCCTTTCTAGCCCAAGGATACACTTCTTGGTGATCCACAGCAACATCGTTGATGTCATAAGCCAGGTGATTGGCTGGATCTACTTTGTGGCCTGGTCCATCTCATTCTACCCTCAGGTGATCAAGAACTGGAGGCGGAAAAGGTAACGCGCTGAGCTTTGTGTGCAGGTGCACTTGGGCTGAGAACAGGATGTCCCAGCGAGGCTGCAGGCAGGGGCTTCACACCTTCCCCTCTGCTCTTCTCTCCACCTGCCCTGTTGAGAAAGCTGTCCTGAGGGGGAAGCCCTAAGAGCCTGGGCAGGACTTCCAGGGCTGGGCATCTGGTTCCTTGCCCAGTTCAGCCCCTCCCTGGGAAAGCAACAAAGTGGGCTTCTCAGCTAAGTGGAGAATGGGCTGGATGCGGGGAAAGTCTGCCTGCTCTTGGACAGTCCAGCCCTAGAAGACTTAGGGGCAAGTCATGTATCCTTGGAGATTATCCATGTAGCCTTGGAGATTAAAGACAAAGAGGGCCTGGGGTTGCGTCTTCGTGCACAAAGGACGCAAGTTCTCCTGCAGTTACCCTGGCCACGTGGGCCTCTCGGGGGGCTGCCCAGCAGACAGCCAAGGAGGGAGATGTTTCTTGTGCAGCAGGTCCCCAGACTTCACTCTGGGGCCAAACTTGAGGAGCAGGAGAAATCTCAGGAGGGAGAGAAGGAAGGAGGGAACCAGCTCTTGAGAGGGCAGGGATTGGATGGCATCAATTGTTCTATCAAGAGGGACCTAAGGGGCCGGCCCGGTGGCGCACTCGGTAGAGTGCGGCGCTTAGGAGCGCGGCAGCACTCCTGCCGAGGGTTCGGATCCCATATAGAGACCGGTCTGCTCACTGGTTGAGTGCAGTGCGGGCGCGACACCGAGGGTTGCGATCCCATTACCGGTCACGAAAAAAGACAAAAAGGAAAAAAAAAAAAAAAGAGGGACCTAAGGACAGTGCTCTCCTGGAGGTGGGCTGAGCCCTCCTTCCCCATGTGCTGGGAGCTCTGTCCCCTCCCACTCCCCCAGTAGTCCCAGGCCTCACCCCCTGCCTTGCTTTGTCTCCTTCACCCCACACAGTGTTGTTGGTCTGAGCTTCGACTTCGTGGCCCTGAACCTGATGGGCTTCATGGCCTACAGCGTGTTCAACATCGGCCTCCTCTGGGTGCCCTACATCAAGGTAGGCACTGCGCCCACCACAGCCCCCGCAACTGCTCAGTGCCCTGGCTGCCCCTCACCACTTAGCTTCTCCCCACCCCCAAACAGGAGCAGTTTCTCCTCAAATATCCCAATGGGGTGAACCCTGTGGACAGCAATGACGTCTTCTTCAGCCTGCACGCGGTCGTCCTCACTCTGATCATCATCGTGCAGTGCTGCCTGTATGAGGTGAGAGATCGGGCCACCCTGCCACCACCCACCCATGTCCCACCTGTCACTACTACCTGCCATCCGACAGATGCATAGACCCCCAGAGAGGAAATGTGAGCGTGCATTCAGCATCTGCTTCCCAGGGCCTGAAGAGTGGGCCAGGCCCTGAGCGGGGCACAGGGAACACCCTGGGAGTCCAAGCCCTCACGGGCCACCAAGTCTGGGGTGGGGGGCGCAGAGAGAGGCAGTGATGATCCAGCAGGCCGAGAGCTGTGTGGGAGGGGTGCCCAGGCAGCTCATGGAGGTACGACGGAGCCCTGGGCCCCGCCAGGGACAGTCGAGGCCCAGCGCAGTGAAGGGGAAGAGGGACAGGGTGGGGCAGCCCCTTGGAGGCCGAGGGGTCAGGCGGGTCTCGAGTGCCCGGCTGAGCGGCCTGGACTCAGGGCTGTTTCAGGACACCCCTGCTGTGACATGGGTCCCCTCCCCTAAGGTTGTGCCACCTCTTCTGGGAGCTCCGTCAGACTCTGCAGGCCAGGCAGGGGCTGTTTGGGCCCCACGTTCATGAACTTTCTAGATTTTCTTTCCCTTTGCCGTGAAGCTCGGGTGAAGGAGGCCCACAGCGGGAGTGGGTCCTGGGGAAGGCAGGGCTAGAATTTACCTCCCTGGCACCCTTCACTCCTGAATGAGTTCTGAAAGGCACCCATTTCTGCAAAGTGGGAACAAAAAGCAGGTGGGAGCTGGGAGATGGACTGAACAGGAGACCCTGATGGCAAAAAGGTGTGGTTCATGCTGAGGATGTGACCCCCAACCCTTGGAGGCCTGGTGCCTCGTCCCAGCCCACATTCCATGACCCAGATGGAGCCCGATGATCTCTGGGATCTGTCCCCACCCCTCCCTTTCCCAGGCCACAGCCCCAGCAAAGGCCTCCCTCACCCAGGCTGCTCTGACGCCAGGGTCAGCTTCCATGCCCTCCCTTTCAGCCCATCCTCCACCCCTCTTCCCAGTCCCACCCAGTCCCCTACTGAGTGGTCTCTGTGCCCCATCTGCATCCCCCACCCCTGTCTCGTCTCGTCCCCAGCGAGGCAGCCAGCGTGTGTCGTGGCCTGCCATCAGCTTCCTGGTGCTCTCGTGGCTCTTTGCATTTGTCACCATGATTGTGGCTGCAGTCGGGGCGACCACGTGGCTGCAGTTTCTCTTCTGCTTCTCCTACATCAAGCTGGCTGTCACGCTGGTCAAGTATTTTCCACAGGTATTTCAGGGACTTCCTGCACGGCTGGTAACATGAGAGTTGCAAGGTTCAGAGCCCAGGCCCTGCTCCCGTGGGACAGCCTCTGCAGGGGCAGGGAGACGAGGATGTGATGCCACCGTGGAAGCCACTGAGCCCAGCAGAGGCAGGACTGGCAGAAAGCCACCAGTACCACTGCCCACACTTCCCTGCAGCCAGAGTCCCATGAGGAAGCCAGGGGAGGCCTCCAGGACTCCATGCTCCCCTCCAGGGGTTGGGTGGGCCATTCCCCTTGCCCACATCGCAGTCTCTCCTACTGACTTCAGTGCTGCCTCCCATTACCATGACAATGCACATCCCTGAGGAGCAGCAGCAAGAGATTCGGGAACGATTAGGTGGGACGAGGGAGCCCTCCACCGCGACCCCTTCCTGTGCAGAGATGTTCTCCTTGGGGTTCCTCAGCGCCCTCCCACGAGTACTATCCAGATCCAGGGGGTTACAGTCAAACACGGCTTCCTCCATAGCCGAATGGCCTGGGACAGGGTGGGGTGTGAAGCTGCCGACTGCAGACTTCCACCCGTGAATCTAGGGCCTCCTGTAACTCACCCCGTTCCCAACAGAGAAGCCCCTTTTCAGCTTCCCCAGCACTGGCAGCCTTGTGCTTGGTGGGCTCAGGAAGGAGAGTGTTTGGCCAGGAGGCAGGCCTGACCCTTAAGGATCAGCAGGACTTAATCATGTGGACAAGAGAGGGGGTTGTTCCAGGCCAGGGCAGTCTGCATGAAGGCTTGGGCAGAGAATGAAGCTAGGGCCAGGCCATGGGGGACCTGGGAGGGCTTCTGAGTAAGGATGGTCTTCAGGAAAGTGGGGCCTCAGTCCCTGAGTGTGAGAAACCTTGGGCTGGGAAAGCTGGGAGGCAGGAGCCGGGTTAGAGATGCTGGGAATGGTCTCAGATTGGAGAGGTGGCAGCAAATATAGATGAGGCTGGGGCTGATGGGAGCAGACCACCAAAGAGACCGAGACCTCCTTCCTGGGTGGTAGGAGGAGAGGTTGCAGCAGTCAGAGACACAGAGGGCTCTGTGGTTTTGGAGGAAGTATGTGGGCACAGGCAGCAGGAAGAGGGGAGTGTCCAAGCGGACCACCCCCAGACCTAAGAAGCTCAGGGTGAGGCCTGGCATCCAGTTCATTCCACCCTACACTTGGGGAACCTAAGGCTACGAGGACTCAGTAACATGCCCAAGGCAGAGCTGGGGTTCCAAACCAGGAGGGCAGGCTCCCCAGCCAGTGTTCTAAGGCACAAGCTGAAGTCAGGACCGAGTCCGGGGAGAAGGTAGGAGGAGAGAAGAAGCATCAAGCTTGCTGAGAAACCAGAATAGGGCTTTGTCCCCAGGGAGAGATGGAAAAGAAGAGGAAGGCAGCATCTGCCCCTCCTGCCCCTGGAGCTGTGAGGTGCAGGGTGGGAGGGGGCGTTGCTTGCCATGTTGCAGATGAGACCCACAGGACCACCCAAACTGTTCCTTGGCTGAGGCGTGTCAGAGCCCAAAGGTCACTGCATTCCTTGGAGCCGAGGCCTGGGCACATGAGTGGGAGGAATTAGAGCCGCTCTTGTTTGGAGTGGTGGTCACAAGGCATGTGAGGCAGCTGCCCAGCCCCCTCACCGCCCTCCGTCTGTCTGTCTGGCCCAGGCCTACATGAACTTTTACTACAAAAGCACCGAGGGCTGGAGCATTGGCAATGTGCTCCTGGACTTCACTGGGGGCTGCTTCAGCCTCCTGCAGATGTTCCTGCAATCCTACAACAACGGTGAGTCAGCCAGCGTGCTGCCCACGCCCCGCCCCGTGGGCTGGAGGCACAGGGTGGGCCAGACTTCCCTGGGTCTTCCAGCCAGGGCTACACCCCCCAGACCCAGCCCTGCAGCCTGGGAACCCAAGCCAATCCCAGCCCCCAAGGAGAGACTCACCTAGGGGCCTTCATAGCTGGAGGACCTGTGGGGTTCTGGGCAGATGGGGACCCCCACCACCCACAACCCCACAGGCTCCAGCTGCTTCAGAAGCTGCCAACCTAAAGCCAATTCTGTCCTCTCTGGCTATTAACAGACCAGTGGACACTGATCTTCGGGGACCCAACCAAGTTTGGACTCGGCATCTTCTCCATCTTCTTCGATATTGTCTTCTTCATCCAGCACTTCTGTTTGTACAGAAAGAAACCAGGGTACGACCAGCTGAACTAGCACCCAGGGACCCAGTGTAAACAGCCCAGGCCCTGTGTCATGGTGGGGAAGGCTCCACCCATGAAGGCCAGAGATGAAGTCTGGCGTGCAAGGGAGAAACGCTCTTTTCCTCAGGGCCAAATGCCTTAACTCGGACCCACCTGCCTTCATCCACAGCCCAGACCCCTCCTGGGCCAGGGAGGAAGCTCCCTCTGGGACAGACACCTGACTCTGCTCCAAGACTGAAAGCCAGACCTCTAGCAGCCCCTCCCAACCTCCCCGAGGTCTCAGCCCCTCCTGGGCCTCGCTGGCCAGACATCTTTGATGCCGCCATCTCTCTTTTCTTTAAGGCTTCAGGCAGCACGCACAGGTTCTGGCAGCCATCTCAGGCAGGACTGGGCGCTGAGCTTGCAGCCGAAGGCCTTGTCCCAAACAACCAGTGTTTCTGGGAGCAGCTTGAAGGGCTGACCTTGCAGTCGGAGAGCCAAGGGTACTTTGCTGCCACTGCTGTGTTCCCAGAGACCGAGCAGCCAGGTGCTGGGGCCAATGGACTCAGAAGTGCTGGTGCTGGTGGCGGAGAGGCTAGGACTTTGGGGTTAGGCCTGGGGTCCCTTCTGTGAAGGCCGCATTCCTGACACTCACTTGTTCTACGTAACTCAACTTCCACGACTGCAGTAACAGGTGACCCAGGACAGGGCCTGGGAAAGAGAATTTTGGAGGCCTGAGGTGCCCACCAGATTGGTTCTGAACAAGACTCATGCCCAACACCCTCTGGAGCTTTATCACAAAAAGTCCGGTGATCACACTAACTCCTTTCAGATTTTCTGGAGGGGTGTTTTGGAAGTGGCTTACTTTCTTCTGCCCTCCCTCCAACTCCACTTTCCCAGAGTCAGATGGGGACCCATCTGAGCACCCCCAGCTGTCTCTACCTAGCATCTGGAGTGAAGGAGACACACACTCCCTCTCCACCGGTCTGTGCCTTAGAGGCCTGTTTAACCTGCCAAATGGTGGGAGTAGCTCCCCCAGAGGGGAGGGCAGGCCACCTGCCCTCCCTTTCCCCAGGCCCCTACCTGAGACTCAGATAAGAGCTGGAGATCACCTCACACAATCCTTATGGGCCCAACCCTGATCTCAAACCTCTTCCCCCCACCCCAAGCCACTGTCCTTCCTATGGCAGGAGGAGAAGGTCGCAGGACGTGCCTTGTACATGCCTTGAGTTTGTCAATCCACTCTGACTTTTTTACTACAAGATCAGGGTGAGGGGCCTGTATCTGTAATTAAAACCTGACTTGTCTCCTTTCTGCACACTCTGAGCACTTGCTAGATGCAGAAGGCAGGTGTGTTGGCCTTCAGAGCCAAGTCCTTCTCTTAGGGAGACAGCCTTGTTCGCCTCATATAAGGAAACGAGTAGGGTCGTGAAGTTCACTGACCCGAGGTAACTGCATGCTGACCCCACACTTCGTTGGGGGTGCCTTCCTGGCTAGTGTGAGATGCCTGCCCACTTGGGCCAGGTAGGTCTCACAGGTACCATGCCTCCGCCATTACCAGGCACACCACTCAAGCTGTGGATGTGAGCAGGGGCTGGATGAGGTTTTTCAGGGCACGCCACCACAGGGAGCCAGGCAGTGGGGTTCTTACTCTTCAGATTCTTCCTCTATCCAGTTGTCAAAGAATTTAAGGTCTTAATTCTCCAGAGCAGAGAATGCACCCTGGCCCTGCCCACAGACCTGTTTTCTTTGGGCTTTCCAGTGATTTTTATAAAGTGTGTTATTGGGTGCCACATTTTTTTTTTTTTTTTTTTTTTTAGTGGTGGAACAGGAAGTCAGCTTTTATTCAGGAACACCAGTGGCCTGAGGAGAGATGTTAGGCTCACCCGTCTCCCCAGTAAACCTGAAGGAAAATGGCCAGACTAAAGCCATCTCCAAGACTCAGATTTACAGGGGGGTTTTAAAGAGGGGCTGAGGGAATGGAATGTGGGGAGTGAAAAGCAGGAGGGAGAGGGGGACGTGAACTGTGGAGGCTCTGAGCAAGGAGCCAGGTGCAAGGTCTCGCCAAGGCTCCGTCTGGTTTCTGTTCCCAACCTTGATATTATCTTAAGGTCCTGCTGGGTTTTGATGCACTTCAGGGTGGTGCCACACTTTTTAAATAGGAAAGATTTAAAATTCTCAACTTTTCTGTAAAAGTCTGACTTGGCAGTATTAGGGGGTTCTGGGAATGGCAGCACGCTCCCAGAGGCGGCAGGCAGAGGGCCAGGTGCTCTCTGGCTTACCCCATCTGGCCAGATGTTGGCCCCTAGAAACATTTGGGGTTGCCTCCCTGGCTATGATACAGTGAGTGCTCTTAAGAGTCTTAGGGGGTAGGCGTGTTTCCCATGAACCCCCAGTGTCCATGAGGCCCCTCCTGGATGGGAGCTGAAGCTAGGTTACACAAGGGCAGTTGGTGGCACTTAGGGACTCCAGTCATACCCAGGAGACCACACACCTCAGGCTCCCAGCCCTAATGGCAGTGAAGGTGCTCCCAGACGTTCCCATGGATGTGGCCCTTGCCAAGTACAGCAAGTTTTCACTGAGGCTTCTAAGGCTCCACGTACTCCAGACTTTCTAGGCAGGTGGGCCTGGGAATAGCTGGGCTTTGTTCCAGAGCAGCAGGTGGGGGGCGGGGGGGGTGGGAGAGGCCAGCCATCCTAAAATCCAAAGCTCTCACCCCAGTCTACCCCCATGTATCCCTATGCCATGCCTCAGCAAAGAGCCCTTGTGAATTCCAGCATTGTTTATTGGACACAAGATGTCAGGGTGAGGCAGCATCAGACTGCCACATTTCCACTGTAACCGAAGTAAGGCTGTTCGCTTGCTAAGAGTAGTTGTCCCCAGATATGAATTAATAAGCTAAATTCAAAAGTAAAATTGGCCGTCTCCAAATAGTAAGATAAAAACACTTTGTTATCAAAGTCGTGATTTAAAAGATACAAAAGTTGAACCCACAGGCATAGAGGAAAATGGCAGTCCTGAGAGCTGCCATGAGATGTTGGCCTGGAACTTCATCTAGACCCTGTAAGCAGGCAGACCCTAGGGAGGCCAGCACCCCAGGGGCAGGGGTGATGGGGAGCCAGCTTCCATGGGAGAAACTTATGGTGCCTCCAGCAGGGTCCGTGTCCAGTCCCCCATTGGGCAGTGTGGGGAAAAGCACGGGGCACAGGCACTGTGGAGTTGATGCACAAGGGCAGGGCCAGACCCCGCAGCCAAGGCAGACAGGAAAGGCCGGCCCCACCTGGCACTGCCCAGCTTTGGCAACTCTCAGGAAGTAGTGTTTCTTGCTCACTTGGGTACTGCTGTGACCGGGCAGCAAGGTCTGGGGGCTGAGGCTTATGATCACTGCAGACTGGCTACCACTCAGCTCCAGGCCTTTGTTTCCAGTCCTCAGTGTCCAAGGGAGAGCTGGTCCCAGAACTTAGGACCGGGGGTGGAAAGGGGAAGGAAGTCTGGGTCAGGCCTCTGGGATCGGCTGTTACCCCTCTGAGCTGGGGCTCAGCACTCAGCAGAAGCCAGGACGAGGGGCAGACAGAGCATGGAACTGGTGTCACTGTACAGACAGGTGGGCAGGCACAAGTCGGGGACCATGGCAGTCTGCTAGGACAGCATGGACTGCTGCACAGCCTTCTGCAGCGACTGCCGAGTCACCAGCAGGCGCACTACCTCCTCCGAGCGCTTGGTGAGCCGCTTCCGGGCCTGGTCGTGTGTGACCATGGTCATGTCCCAGCCGTTCACCTGCCCAGGAAGAAAACATGGCCCACCTCAGCTCCACATTATCTGGGATACGGAAGCAGAGGGCTTTGGTGGGCCTGCGTCACCCAAGCAGGCCCCCAACCTGACATCCCTGGGCCATGGCACAAGGAGGAAAAAGAGCCTGCTTCCTCTGGGGGCAATGACAGTGGCTTGCAAAATGGCTTCGGTGAGTCTCTTGCAGCTGGGAGGCATGGGCAGTCCCCCATCCCCATGTGTCTCAGCCCCTCTGGCCCAAACTTTGTTTTCCTCCATGGGGATTCCCGTTACCTGCATTATCTTGTCTCCAATCTGCAGCCCCGCAATTTCAGCAGGGCCTCCTTCAGACACCCGCGTGACATAAATACCCTGGAAAGAGGCAGCCCAGGTCAAGCAATGTGGTCACTGGACTGGCCCCTTATCCACAGAGCAGAGCCCAGCACGGCCCACTCCCAGCCATCCCTGCACCCAGCGCACACAGCAGGTGCTGGCTGTGCTGAGACAGCCAGGGGTAAATGTGGCTGTCCCATGGATGCTCCAGCCCCTGCTGATGGCCGCCTCCTGCTGCTCCTGGGCTCTGTCTGAGCAGGCCTTCCTATGGCTGGGAGGCCCACTCCCACTTCCACCCCTACTTATCCCCACCAGATCATTTCTTGGACCTTCTTAAGAGGGCACTGTCTGAGAGAGATGAGGTCTGCTCCCTCCACACAGGCCCAGGAAGCAGAGATCCACCATCTCAGGCTTCTGTGCCCCTTCGAGAGGTCCCAAGACCCTAGTTGCCCTCACCTTGTCCGTCTTATCTTCCGAGAAAGGATTCTGGGAAGGATCCTGGTCAATTCCACCTCCAATGCTGAAGCCCAGGATTAAGTTCTCACCTTGACGCAGCTTGTGAATTTCAACTCTTTGCTGGCAAAGTAAAAGGCAAGTTGGGGGTAGGTGGGTGGGTGGAGAATGAATCTGGTCTGTGTCCCCAGCAGCACTCTCAGGCTGCTGGGCCAGCTCAGAGCCATGCCAAGGGGGTGGGGCGCAGGGACCTCTGCAGGAATCCAGCTGGTCACGGGTCTAGGAGGCTGGGGGCTGGGACTCAGAACCCAGCGACATTGACCCACCCACACAGCCCTCTGTCCTCAACCTCTCCCCCTTCCCCTGTTAGTATCAGGCACCACATTAATTAACATGCGCTCTAAGCCCCTCTTGGCCCAAAAGCCATGGTGCTGTGGCTGCTGCGAATGGGAAGCCCATCCCCAGGGAGGGACCACCGGAGGGGTCATGCCCTGAAAAGATGCAGGCACCTTGCTCAGGCAGCTCAGACTGCTGAGCCAGCCCTGTCAGGGGCAAGACAGGAGGTGCTCGGGGAAAGTGGAGAAGATCAAACTTGCACAGAAAGGAGAGGAAAGGCTTGCTGGCCAAGGCTTGAAGGTGCCATGGATAAGCATCCGTGAGACCAGAGTGCACAGTGCAAGACACACAATTGGGAGGTGAGATGTGGCTGGAAGTGTGAGGCTAGGGCCAGATCAGGAAGGCTGTGGTATGAAGCCCACGAGACTGGTCCTAGATGGAGGGCAAGGGGGTCTTCCTAAGCCCCAGGCCCTGCTCTTATGTGGTGGAGGAGACAGAATGTTCTAGGGCTCTCCCACCATGCTCTGGGGCTGTGGTCCACAACTGCGCCAGGCTCCTTTCAGAGCCTTCAGCAGGCACCCTCCAGTCACCAGACACTGGGAGCCAGACCCGATCACCCCAAAAGTTGAGAGTTTTAACAGAAAAAAAAAAAAGGTGAGTTGATCTGGATCTGAGGAGGCTTCACAAAGGATCATCAGCACCAGGTCCTGAGGGGGTGACAAGAAGTTTGCCCACATAACCTTGACGCACTAGAGCTCTCAGGAGTTGGGGAGCAGAGCAGGGCATGGTCAGGTTTGATGCTATAATGATCACTCAGGTAGTCAGTAGAGGAACGAGTGTCTCACAGAGGTGTGATGTGGAGGCCAGGGGACATGAGCTACTTGGAAATTGAGGCCAACAGACTTGGGGACAGCTCCTGGGGGAGAGAAGTCAAGAGAAGCACCCTGCCACCTTGCCTGGCTGAACACAACCATCACTCAGATGGGACCCAGGAAGAGGAAAAGCAGGAGTAGGAGTGCCAGGAGCCATCCAGGCATGTGTCCAGAAGGCAGAATGATCTATGGAGCCAGAGTTTGGAGGAGAGGCCGAAATGATTCTCAAAATTCTCAAAATGTTAAATACATGGCAGAGGGCTAGGACTGGGAAGGAAACCTCCCCCACCCCATCCTGAATCCAAGACACAAGAGAGAGACCCACCCACCATGTTCAGGCACACTCCTAATGTTCGAAGTGGGGGCCATGGTCCTACAGCTTTGAGGAAGTCCCGGGGACCAGCCATGACATGAGGGAGGGGGAGCAGGAAGCATGATCCCTGAGGCCCACTGGACCTGAGACCTCACACCGAAAAGTGTGAGCTCCTTCTAAGCCGGCTCCACGTCCTCCAACACATACTTTTTCATCCAGCCCTCCCGGGTCAGAAAAAAAGTACATGTGCTCGGGCTGGAAGACAGGACCTTGTCACTGACTTGCTGGGTGAGGTCAGGCAGGAAGGTGTCTCTCTCTCTGGCTCCTCACCTACACCCCCTTTTTTCCAGCTAAGGAGCAAACCTGGCCTCTTCTTCCTGAAGCAGCTATGGATCTAGAAAAGCCAGGCTGGTGCAGGCAAGGTGAAGTTTAGAACAGCTGTCAGCTGATCCAGCAATGTTTCCCCCTAGCCCAGGCCTGAGCTCCTCTTCACGTGCTTCCTTATCAGGAGCTCTCCAACACACCCAGCTGGGATACCACAGCCAGTCCCCTGGCTCCAAGGCTGGGACTTGCACTTTTCATTGCCTGCCCAGCATACATTTATTCCCATTTTGTGAAACCTCTGGGGAGCTGGGCAGGAGACCAGGGTCTTTCCTGAGAACTTTCTCTATGATTGGGCGTGACCAAACTTCTCTCTGGGACTCAGTTTCCCCACCTCTGCCAAGGGGTTGGCCTCCGGGCGAGGAACCTGGACTTTGCCCCAAGGGCTGGTAATCCAGGGAAAGTTGTGAGAGGGACTGAACCAGTTGTATGATCATTCACTCCGGACCGGGCGTGGGGTGGGTCCGAGGAGCGAGGCTGGAGGGAAGGGGGAAGGGGCTGCTGCGGCAGGCTCCGACCAACCCCACCCCCCAAATCTCCCTCCCCTGGGCGGCGGCGCCGGCTGGAGCGGAGGAAGCACTTCCTCATTCCAGAGGCTGCGACTCATGGACGTCGGGGCCGGCGCCCGCCCCCCCCGGCTGCCCAGCTGGGGACAAGGAGGCCCAAGAAGGGCGCGCATTCCCTGACTCCCACAGCCGGGGCCTTTCTCCTTCGCCCTGCCCGCCCCGGCCCGCTGAAAGGAGTCCACCCCGGGGCGGCAGTGCGCGGGGTCTGGTCTCCGTCTAGGGTCTCGGGAGACTCTTGGACCCCAGCCGTCTCCGTTTCGTAGCTGGGGTGCACTGCGGCTCCACTCCGGCACAGCGGGGCCCGGAGCCCCGGCCGGCGGTTTGCAGGAGCCCCGGGTTCGATGCTCTGTCAACCTGTTTGGGGTGTCAGTTTACCGCTCTGCAAAATGGGGGCAAGCCAAGACGAGAAGGAGCCCGCGCGAGCGTACTCACCACCACGGCCGTGACCGGCTGGCCCGGGATGTAGGACATCTCGACCGCAACCTGGTAACCTCTAGTACCGCTCGGTGAAGCCCGCAGCTACAAGCTCCACGGCCGCGCCCTCTCTGGTTAACAAAGGCCGTCCGGCTCGGCCCGCCCCCTCATGAATAGTTAACAGATCTCCAGCCAATCACCGGCTGGAGCGCTGTTCGGCTTTCGGAAGTCCCAGTGGGTGCGTAGAAAGGCGGAGAGAGGGTGGAGCGTGCCCGGGACTCCCGCAGCGCAGGCGCGGCGGGGAGGGGTCGGGGCGAGGTCTGGGCGCATGCGCAGCCTGCGTCCTCCCAGCAGCCTCCCGCGCAAGATGGCGCCGCAGGACTTTCTCCTCTATCCTGTCTGAGAGAACGCCAGGTGACCGCGTCCCCCGCCGTGTTGCAGGTAACTGGGCAAGCCCGGCCAGGGAATGCAGATGTGCCGCCGCCCCAGGCCCTCGGCCTTCTTGGCGTTTTTCGGAGGTCCGTCCGAGACCTAAGAGTGGTGCCAAGTCTAGGAAGCCCCAGGGGGAGGCGGCGGCGTGAACCCAACTCGCCGAGCCCCGGGTGCCACTTGTAACTTGGTTCTCTCCGCAGCTCCACGTTGTTCGGCGAGAAAGCCAGCGGCTGAGCCCCGGCGGGTGCGATGGCCGCGGTGGTGGCCAAGCGGGAAGGGCCGCCGTTCATCAGCGAGGCCGCCGTGCGGGGCAACGCGGCGGTGCTGGATTACTGCCGGACCTCAGTGTCAGCGCTGTCGGGGGCCACGGCCGGCATCCTCGGCCTCACCGGCCTCTACGGCTTCATCTTTTACCTGCTCGCCTCCATCCTGCTCTCCCTGCTCCTGATTCTCAAGGCGGGAAGGAGGTGGAACAAATATTTTAAGTCACGAAGACCTCTCTTTACAGGAGGCCTCATCGGAGGCCTGTTCACCTACGTCCTGTTCTGGACATTCCTCTACGGCATGGTGCACGTCTACTGAAATGGGGGCAGGGGTCACTTTTTTAACAAACCAGACTGGGAGGACTGTTGCCAGAAATTAACACCGTATAGACTTACTTAGTTTTTAAATCGTTGAATTCGCTGCTTGTTCTGTGACGTTATAAGTAATTTATATCTGAAGACAGAGAGCCTGTAATATCCTTCAGATTAAATGAAGCGTGAGACACTTTGTGGAGTTCTTTCCTACTTTAATGCATAGTTTGCTGTGCGTGTAAAGTCGCCAAGATTTGACTCCTGGAGAGCAGGGACTGGGCCGGGGCCTTTCGCAATTTCCTTGCATTTAACTCCTAGGCCATCAGAGAGGGGCCACTAGGGCCTGAATAAGGAGAGAGCTTAACATCCGAAGAACAGTTTATTAAGGTGTTCCCTGTATACCAGGCATTGTGCCTTGTGCTTTTCACACCCATTATCTCATTTAATTCTAGCAATAATCTTATGGAGTAGATGTTATTGTTAACTCCCCGATGACGAGAGACCTGAGGAACCTCTGTCAAAGGAGGCACAGATAGGAAGAAGCAGAGCCGGGATTCAAATGCAGGTCTCTTAATTTGCTCTTGCTGTATTGGTTGAGTGTACTTTTCACAGCCCAGCATTCCCTGCCACTAACCATTCCAGGCACGAATGGTGTCGTTTCAGTTCCTTTTCAGCTAGTCACAGCTAGCTGCTTTTTCCACAAGAAAAAATAAACTCAAACTATTTTTTTAGAATATGTCTAGTGAAGATTTTTGACATTAGAGCTAAATTTTGGGTTTCTTTAGAGTGTAAACACCTATGTCTAACCAACTGAGCCAACCTGCCACACCTAAACACTTCTATCTTTATGCTAATCCATGATCCTTTCTTGTCAGTAGTTATCTTAGAATAAAATGCATGTTTGAGAAATAAATATTGCATTAGAGTTATAGTAATGAACATGTTACTCGTGGAATTTATAGTCTAACTGGGGAGACCAGCATTACCTAATTTCAGAGATATTGAAATTATGGTAAGTGCTATGAAGAAAATGCATAGGAACCCCAAACCTAGCCCAGGTTAGGGCATGAAGGTCCAGGAAGTCTGCTTTGAGAAAGTAACATTACGTCTGAGACCTGAAGGTTAAATAACAGCCAAATAAAGTGTGGGGAAGGGATTACTTACAAGCAAGAGCCTGTGTGAGGGCCACTGGGCAGGAAGGAATGTAGCCTGTATCTGGAGAGTGAGACACGGGGCCATGAGGTAGACCTGGATGAGGTGGAGGAGAGCCACGGCGGGGTTTGACCTTGGTCCTAAGAGCAAATGGGGGAAGACTTTGGAACTTTTAGGAGAAACATGATCAGAATTGGATTTTTTAAAAAGAATCAGTTTTAGATAGGAAGGGGATCTGAAAGGTTGAATTCAAGTCCTCTTTTCTTTTACAGACCATAGGTGGCCCATGGCCAATAATGGGAATGGATCTGGGACCCAGACCTCCTGAATTCCGTTTTGGGTTCCGGACCGCTTGCTTGCACAGGAAGCCAAGCAGCAGCTGAGGCCACAGCTTTGCCCCCCTCTCCTAGTGACCTCCCAATGAGCCCTTTCTCTGCCCACCACTGAAGAACCTCACATTCATGGTTTGCACACCCAGTCCTCTCTCAGGGCCGTCTCTGAGTGGGATGGGAGGGTTCATTCCTGATGAAGCATAAGGAGGTAGCAGAGGGGGTCCTATTGGAAGAGGAGGATGGAAAAGGATAAGAGAGAAGTGAGCCGATTTACTTAACCATTTTCCTACTGTTGGGCAGTAAGTTTGTTCAAAATATTCACTATTATAAAAAATATCACAATGAATGTCTTCACGTTTATATTGTTTTAAGGGAATTTAGTATCCTAGGGCAGAGGATAGAAACTTGATTCCTAATGCTTTCCAGTGTTTTATCAGATTACACTCAAAAATTACCAGTTTTATCAGTGCTTTCCTAGCCCTTAATTTTATTTGCTCATTTACAGAATTTCCATATTTTCTTTGTGAAATAACAAGGAACATAATATATTGCTTACTGATTGTTTCTTGTGCCTGCCTCTTTTGGTCGCACCTTACATTTTCCCCTAAAACACAGGATAACCATGAAGATATGAAGGGAGGAAAATCAGGACACGTTTAAAATTGACCCCCTTTATTTTATAACCAAATAAAAGTGTCAGAGAATACATATGTTGGGCAGGTACCAAAAATGTCTGCCATCTTTCCACCTTTAATTCTGTTTACTTGCCTAAGGGAAAACAGCTGGCAGAAAGGTGTCATCCTGGAGAGAGCACGCTGGATCCACTGGAGAGTATGCGCTGAGGAAAGCCGCACCACATGGGAGGAGGGGATAGGTTGAAACCAAGTGGAGTCCTTTCCCAGACATGCAAGATGCCATTCCAAGTGGAGTGACTTAGGAACTCTATGGGGCACTGTAGTCCCTAGCTGAGGTGCTCAAAGACTTGAAGTCATGTTCTCCCTTTATGACTGGTTCCCTAGTGGGGCACTGAGAAAGGAAGAACTGATGTGGAGCAGGGGCAAAAAGGTAGCCATGACTGGTCAGTCCTGACCCCAGCATCAGGAATGGAAGGCACCTTGCTTTTTCATGGCTGGTCCCAGAATGTCACGTTGATAGCACCCAGTGTACGAATTTCCCAGCATCATGGTACTCCCAAAGACATGGGATAACTCAATTGCTGGGAAAATAGGAGGTGGACAGATTTAGACCAGGGCCTGAACATAAACAATTCATGTGATCCTGGAACACCAGAACAGAAAGGAGCTCTTGAGAGGCTGGCACTACCATCTTCCTGATGAGCCAGTGCCCAGAAAGAATAGGGCTTTCCCAAGTTTGAAAGGGCTCAAAATCCTCCAGTTCTCCACAATTAAAAGGCAGTTTCTGTAAGATTAATGAGCCCCCCCACTCTTGCACCAAGATTATTCAGAAAAAAGGTGGGAAGCAGAGGGCTGAGCAAAAAGCAAGGGAACATTGGCAGAATGTGCAGCAGTTTAGAGGCTGTAATAGGATCACAGTTTGCTGAGCATGGGGCCCCTGACATGCAGTAGGGAGGCCACCTGGAAAGCTGCACTGGCGTTGAAAAGGTTGAAGACGTCCTCAAAGGAAGTAACATTTAATGGGGCAACACTTACAATTAAAGTCAACTTGATTAAAAGAAAGCCTCACAGGGACTGGCCAGTTAGCTCATTGCTTAGAGTGTGCTGCTGAAACGCCAAGTCAAGGGTTTGGATCCTTGTACCTGCCAGTTGCCCCCCACCAACAACCCCCCCACAAAAAAAGGCTTTATAAAACCCACTGCAGTCACTGCCTTCATCCAGTTCCCAGGTTGCTCCTTCCCATGTCAAATAGTCTCCTTACACATGTGGTGCCCTTACCTGAAAAGCGTCCCCCTGTCACCTAGTTAAGCTGCTACTAACCCTTCAGATTTCAACTTAAGTGTCACTTCCTTGGGGAGACCTCTGGCTACTCTTTGTTGAACTGTCAACACGCCCTATTCGGTCTGTGATGACAAGTGTGATCACTTGATCAATGTTCAACTGCCTGCTAGACTGGAAGCACTGGAGGACACCTGACACATAATAGGTACTCAGTAAATATTTACTGACTGCATGAATAACTGTAGGAATAACTGTTGGAAGACATTTTCATTACAATATAAAATAGTACAACTGTCCCCAGGTTATATGGCTGTTGCCGAAATGAAACTAGACCAATCCTTAAGCAGCCATGACCTCTGCCTTTTTTACGTCCTCCCAAACATAAAAGTAACATGCTAGATTATAAAATCCAAGGGTTTGCTTTAGTGAGGAAGTGAAACACCTAAGTGGATCACCCCGGTTTTTCACTTTCTATTCAGAGAGCAGGTTGGGCTTGTCGACAGATTCCCAGACAACCCAAGGTTAGGGAGCTCCCTGCTCTAGAAGGTCCTGTTCTGGGGACCATGTGCCTCTTCCTCAGGGGATGCCTCACCAGAGGCCTCTGCCAGGCCCCTCTGACAACCCTCTCCGGAGTCCCCGGTGGAAGGAGGCTCACCACCCCCTTCTGGGTGCAGAGGGAACCTCTCCTAAAGAGGATGCTCCCTCCTATCCAGGGAGCTGCCCACACAGCACCTGGGACTTGCTGAGCCAGGACAGCACCTGAGGACTTTTCTGCGCGTAGTTCAGACAACAGTGAGTGGTGACCTCTAGGTTTCTCACTTGGGGTTTCCCCGGGGACTCCTCAGACACATGGGATAGGGAGAAGTGAGCTAGCTGGCTCCCCAAGCCCAGTACTCAAGCGTATTTCACATCCGTCTCTGACAGAGGAGGCTTGTTCTTACACGCAGCCTTCAGGAAAAGGTCATTTCCTGAGTGGATGTGCGAGTAACCAAGTGGATTCTCAGCAAAATAAGGGAGTTTCTTGGAATCAGTAACACTGGTCACACCTGGAGAACATGGCAGGAGGGACGCTTTTCACTTTTCATTCTTCTTGTACCTTTTAAATTTTGAATCATGTAAGTATTACCTAGTCAAAATATTTTAATTTAAATAAGCTGAGCATAATGCTTACTTTGGGGATGGGAGAGGGATCCTCTTGGTCTCAAGGTAACAGGTATATAAATCTGACCTAGAAATTCGCTCCATCCACCAAAGCTGGCACTTTTCCCCCTCAGAACCAGGTTTTTAAATGTTAACACCTCAGGTGTAATTCTCAAACGTTAATCCACAAGATTCACCTCGGAATCCAGTGGAATCCAGGTTCTGATTTAGTAGGATGAGAGAGGGGCCTGAGACTGCATTTCTCACGGGCTCCCGGGAGGCACCGCTGCTGCTTGTCCATGGACCCCGCTTTGAGTAGCAAAGCTCTACAGAGCCTGAGGGCAGGACCGGGAGGGTTCTAGGGTTCCGCAGGGCAGGGTGGGAATGGAGGGGGTACGGTGGGGGCAGGAGCGAGGGGAATGAGGGCTCCCTAATAGTGTGGGGTCCCTAACAACTGTCTCACCTGCTGAGTGCGCACCATCCTTCATCTAATTAGCACTTCAGACCAAGCCTCTGAGGAGAAAGGAAGGGAAGCCAGGCAGGGACACCCAGCCCCACAGACCAGCCAGAGCCAAACCACATGGGCAAATGCATCTCCCAGCTGGGCAAGCCGGTATTCCCAGAGCTTCCCAAGGCTGATGGGTCAAAATCGAGCAGAGGCCTCCCTGCCTCCCCTTCTCCATCTTAGGAGCTCTTGGAGTTGGCCTCTCTCCTTAAGAGCCAGCCACCTCCTGACTGGTCCAGTCCTTTCCTGGTAGCCTCCTTGGCCACCTTTTAATGTTATCCCTGGGGTCAAGGCCAAATGTCCCCTTGGATGTTGTCCAAGGGCTTTCTCTAAGCAGCCATCACTCTCTAGAGGGATTTGTAAAAGTCTCAGCTAGTGGCTGGAGAAAGGCTGGAGGGGCTGGGCCTGGCTGTGATGCCTCTGTTGGCTTTGGAGGGAGTACATGTGTGGCCCCTCCAAAAGGACAGGTCAGTGTCTCACATAAGCATCTCCTGGATAGGGCCCAGCATGCAGCATGCATCAATAAATATTTACTGCATGTATGAATGAATTAATGAATGAATGTCCAACCAGTTCACAGAAAAAATAAAAACACTTTGTTCCACTCAGGCCTCTGGCCTGCCCCTGTCCCCTGGGCACCTGCTCCAGGGCCTCCTCCTCTAGATTCTGGCCACTGGGAGACTCCCTTCCTACACAGCAAAAGGTCCATAGCAAGATCCCAAAGTGCAGGAGAGATGGCTGTGCCTGGAAGCCCCTGTCCATGCAGGCACAAAGACTCCTCTCATCAGTTCAGAGCTGTTGATGGTTCTGGCCCCAACATCTTCACTCTTTACCAAATGTGCTCTCGGCCAACAGTCTGGCTACGTCTCCACGGTCTGCAGGGTCTGCAGCTGCTCTGCATTCACCTTCGCATTCCTCAGGTGGCTAGACCTGTGTGCAGGAGGGGGCACACACAGAGGGCAAAGAGGGCAGTCAGGAACCCTGTGGATGGAGCCAGCCTCCCAAAAGGCAGATACACGCAGCAACCTCTCACTGGCAGCACTGCAGGCAGTCATGGCATCCAGACAGATGGGCACTCTGTCGGGGTCCCTAGCTGCAACCCAAACACATGCAGATGCTCAGGCTGAGGCCTCGGGAGCCACCCCAGCAATGAACAGCAGAAACTGAGGTAGCAGCCAGAACCCAGATGCATGAGCACAGAGCCTCTCGCAGCAACAGGCAAGGATCAGCCAAGACAAGCAAGGCGGCCATTCTGTCCCCTTGCAGGGTATGCAGTTCAGGTGAGCACCCAGGAAGTGACAATCAGCTCAGGGAGCACCTGGAGGGCTGCTGGGCTCAGGCCAGGGCCGTCCCCATCCGGATGCCCTAGCGTCCATTGCCTCCTTGCCCCGATGCTGCAGCCCCCAGCCTCTCTTTCTCTCCTCATTCCTTCCCTGCCCAGGCCCAGCTCCCCACCATAGGCTGCCAATCCCTGCATCAACAAGGAATAAAAGCTGGGGGCTGGAGGAAATGCCATCCCAGGTCAGTGAAAACCCTGGGATGTGTTTTACAAGAGGGGAGTCACAGAACCCTAGCCTGACTAAGCAGGAGGGGGCCTTGTGTTCTGGGATAAAAAAAGAAAACTAAGGCCTAGAAAGGGCCACGCACCTGCTCGAGGGCACACAGTGAGGCAGAAGCAGAGCAGGCCTCCTGACTCAGCCCAGGCTCCCTCCCCACAGCGGGCTGAGGCCACATCTGCAGAAAAGGCCAGGCTGCCCCAGATCTTCTGGGCCCCAGAGAAGGGCCTCCAGAGGGCCAACTGGCAGCACAGCCACCACCACCCTGGGGCTGGGGCAGCTCCAGAATATCCACACAGAAGAGGGACTTAGGAGAGTAATCTGATGGGAGGAGGGGGAATGAGGGGTTTGATAAAGAATATCTCAACGGAGAAGAACTGGATTCTAGAAACACTGCCTGGATTCAAATCCCAGCTCTGCTATTTATTAGCTGTGTGACTTCAGCAAGTTACCTAACCTTTCTGTGCCTTGGTTCCCTCATTAGTAAAAAAGAGAATATCGGTTTCTACCTCATTAAGTTGCTTAAATGAATTGATATAAACAAAGAGCTCAGAGGAGCACCGGGCAGAGTAAGCGCTGTGCAGTCAGGACGCTGGGAGAGCAGAGCAGAGCAGGCGCACTGGTCTGCACCTATCCAGTGGGCTGCCAGAGCCAGTGGGGACCATGTGCAGGGAGGGGCTAAAGCACCACCAACGTCCCCTCCCCCCAGGGTCTAACTTAGATGAACTCTCCTGGGTCCTGGACGTCCTGCCCAGTGGCCAGGTCACCCCAGAACAGAATGGCCCGCCGGAGCCACGGGATGTGAGGTACCTAAGTGGCCCACCTCTCTGCAGGACCCAGTTCTCAGGCTCTCTGCCTGGCAGCCCCTCACCTGGCAGGCTTGAGGAGCTGCGGGCACAAACAGCCATTCCCCTTCCAGCTGCTGCTTCCGTGCTGCGCCTCGGGCTGCTCCGGCAGTCCTGGCCCCGACTCGGGCTGCTCTGGCAGCCCCAATCCTGACTCTTCGGCCTCCAGGGCCCTGTTGTCTCGGCCCCTGGGCAGGACACGATCTGTTAACCTGGAATGTCCTGGCAGTGTACCTGCCCAGGAGACTGGTGGCAAAGGCCCTGAAGAACCACTGGCCCTGCAGGACACCACCCTCCTTCCTCCATCGGCTCAGTCTGGGCCAGGGGCTGTAAATCAGGGCCCAGTCTGGGGCCAGGGTCGGGGCTCAGGGCACGGCCTATAACCCAGGGCCGGAGTCCAGGCTGCGGCTGGAGTTCAATCAAGGCAAATGACGCAGGCGGACCCTGCACCTGCTGTCCCATGTTGTGGTGGGGCTGCAGGAGCACAGAGGTGCCTGTCCCAATTCCCCGTTCTGATCCCAGCTCCTCTGGAAAGCCTTCCCAAGCTCCAGGGCCACAGCCCCTTGCCCCTTCCTGTCTGCCCTGAGGCATCAGGACTCCACTCATACTGTGCTCTGCTACTCTGAAAACACACACACACACACACACACACACACACACTCTCATCACCACCACCACCACCAAGCCCACAGCCCAAAAGACCCTGGAAAGAGGCCCCTGTAGTGGGGGAAAAAAATCAGTTTTTTCCTTCCCTTACCAGCTTCCCCCAACCCTAGCTCACAGGACCACCAAGTCCAAGAATCCTGAAATTTAAGTGCTGAGAGGCACTACATGTAAACCAACTCTCTCATCTCGCAGAGAAACTGAGGCCCAAGGAGTCCTGGGATGTGCCCAAAACCACATGGCAAGACAGTGGCAGAGCCTGTGAACCAGGTCTCCTGTCCTGCGGCCTGTGGTGGCCTTTTGTTCCAGCCTGCAGAGCATGTATCCAGAACATTCCACCTCCCAGACCCTTCAGCCCCTGCCTCCATCCCCCGAATGCCAATATCAAGCCAGGGTAAAGGTTCAAAGCCAGGGAGAGGCTCCGCAGGGTTCCCCTCGGGCTGCGGGGGAGGAAGTATAACTGACCTCACTTCCTCGTATTTCTTGTCACGGTAAAACTCCCTCTTTTTGATGAGGTAGAGGAGTACCAGGTCGCAGAAGAAAGCCCCCTGCAAAAGAGTTAGGGTCCCTGACTCCGAATCCTAGACTACCGGAGAGCGCCCAGCCACTTGACACCCTGCATACCGTTTGGTCTTGCAACAACCCATGAGGGATTTGTCCCCATTTGATAGATGAAGAAACTGGGCTCAGAAAGGGATGCCTCTGTCCAAGGCCACAAAGCTGGTCCACAGTAGAGCCAAAGTCAGACTGGAGCTCCAGTGACCCCACAGGCCAAGTGCCCCCCGCACTACCCTGGCCCCATCCAGTCACCCGTTCAGCACCCACCACATGCCAGGGATCACACTGGGGTACAGGCAGGATTAAGACAACAGAGACCTGGGGCCTCTCCTGCTGGTGCAGGAGACAAATGTGAGAATCATGACACAGAGTGATGTGGCCTATAGCTGGGAGAGGGACAGGAGCTGGGGGAAGACAGGACTTTACTCAGTCTGGGGAGGGATATCCAGGCTGAGTCTTGAGGGCTGAATAGGAGTTTATACAAGGCAAAGAAGCCTGGGAAGGGCATTACAGAGGGAGGAACAAGCTTGTCATGCCCAGGAAATGCCACGGGGCCTGCAGGAGAAGAGACACTTCTGCGGAGGTGTTTTCAGGCATTGACACCAATCCTTCAGCTGAGGAGGAGGCACTACAGTGAGGATGACGGCCCTGTGGTCACATCGACTGGTAGTTTGTGTGAGACGGGCTGGAGGGGGTCTGAACCTAACCAACGAGGGTGCTACAGCGGTGGTCGAGGAAAGACAATGAAGCCTGAGCTATCCCAGCTCAGAGGGGCTCACACCTGAGCACAGGCACTTTGGCCCACAGCACGTCTTGCAAATGCCCGTCTCCTCCAGCAGAGGGCGACTCCACCCACAGCACAGCGTTAGGGGCAGTCCCTGAATGGCTGAGGAAGAGGGTGGAGGTGGGGCGGGGGTGGATGGATGGGCCAACAGGTGAACCTGGTCCTCTGACCCTGGGCACTGCACACCTTCTTTCCCCAGATGCCCTGTGCTCTGATTTTACCCACATCATCCGAAGGAGATGACTGACGGTGGGCCCCTCTCTAAGAAAGTTACATACACAATCATCCGGGGTTCCCCAACAATGATTGTTCGTAGTTAGGAGGAATCCATTCAGGACTCGCTTTTTCGACCGCCTCTCAGGAGCATGGCCTCTTTGAGTCCTGCTACAGGACACACTTTTCCCGGCCTCACCAGAAAGTCAATCCTAGGTCCTGATGGATCCTCCAATGGGGCTGTTTTGGCTGCCCAGGCAGAGGAATGAGGGAAGAGGCTGCCAGAAACCTTACAAAGGACTTGCTGGGACGAGCCGCCCGCTGAAGATTCCCATGTCTTCGGAAAACTTCCAGAAGTACAAAGGGGCATTACAGAGATTCAGAGCGAACCTGTCCCTGCCCTCCAGCCGCTACTTCCCCTGTCAGCCCATCTCGGCCCGGCTGAAGGGCCCCCACTAAGGAAGGATTACAGGACTGTCTTCCCTGCCTCTCATCCTTTTACCCAGTGGTTCTCAGTCAGGGTCGATTTTGCTTCCCAGGAGACATTTTTGGGCATCACACCTGTATGGCAGGGTGTCAATGGCATCCAGTGAGTAGAGGCTGGGGATGCTCTCAAACACCCTACAATGCACAGGACAGCCCCCTCAACAAAGGATTACCAGACCCAAAATGTCAACAGTGCCGAGGCTGAGAAATCCTGTATATACCCTTATCCTGCCTCTGTTAGCAGAAGTGGAAATGGAGACTTTAGAAGTTCAGGGGCTGACTTAGGATCCCAGAGAAATCCAAACCTGCCCACCAGAGCTACAGGCACATGCCTCTCTGGCTCTGGAAAGAGAAACTCAGGCCGTCACTGCCACCTGGGGGCAGCTGGCAGGGCCTGAAATCCCAGAAAGCCCTCTTTACCCACATCCTCTCACCAGCTCTCATTCTTTCTGAGAGGACATGTTCCTCCTGCAGTTACCCCCTCCCTGCCAGTGCTGCTGCCAGTGAGAGAGCAGGAAGTGGGGAGGGAGGGGAGAGGTACTCACAGCACCCATGAGCGCCACCCCAGAGCCCACACTGACGATTGTGGGGATGATGTTGAACTTCCCTGCCTGAAAGATAGAGACAAGGTACAGTGAGCAAGGCAGGGTGGGCAACAGGATCCCCAGGGACTCTCCCAACACCCTCCAGCCCACCCCACCCCAGCCTTGCCCTGCCTCAGAATGGGAGAACCACCCCACACACCTTGCCATTCACCATCACATCAAAGCGGATCCCATAGGCTTTTATCAGGGTGCGGAACTCCACCCCGGCTGCATCTCGGTAATATTTGGCAAACCTGGGGAGACAGGGCCCAAGGGAAGCCTAAGCCTGCCTACGCCTTCCCTCTTCGGCAGAACAGTCTTGGCTGCTTTGGGGACTTATAAGCACTCTCAGGACCCTGACTCTCAGCAGCCCCAGGAGAGGATACAGACCCTTTTACTGAGCCAAGTACAAAGACTCATCCAGATCTCTGAAAACTCTGCCAGACATTCCCCAAGGGACAAGGGATTTCCCTCTATAGTGGGCCAATCCTTGGGCTACCAAATCACTGATGGAATTGACCCAGCAGAGAAGCCAAGCCTCGGCTTTATGGCGAGAACCGGGTAAGAACAGACACTCTTCTCTCCCAGCGGCACTCACCGCTGCTGTCTCTGGCTGCTCTGCTGGGACCCACGCCTGTCCTCAGCCATCTCTCCCTACACCTCCCACCCTGACACCTACCACCAGGAAGGAGTGTCATACTGCTGGCACCTACGGTAGGACACAAACCATGGTCAGGGTCACAAGGTGGCACAAGGCAGCAGTTACCTGAAGTTGTATCCAGAGGAGACAGACTCTTCAAGTTTGTTGTCCAGACGGGTAAAAGAATAGTGAGGGTTGCATTCAGAGGCCGCTTTATCAAGATCACAGTTCCATTCAATATGAACTCCTATCACACCACCCTTGATGAAAGAGAGACAAAGGTCAGTACACAGAGCTTTCTAGAGATGGACAGAGTCACAGACCGGCCCTCCATGAGAGCTGGATGAGACGGAGGAAGCTCTCAGGCAAGAGTCGCCCTGCTGGCCTGCCTTTCCAGGAGCTCCTAGCTCCACCTCTGGTGCGGCTGAGAAAACTGCGTGCCCACCCCAGCATCATCTCCTCCACTCTTCAGGAGAGGAGGGAGCTGCCCAGAGTGAGCACCTTTCATGCACAGGCCTGGATGTGCCAATGGGCTCTTTCTGGCTCAATTGCAGCCAATGACCCAAGGACTAAGAACTACACAGCAGGTGCCAAGTCTGTCCCTCACTGAATGCCTGTGGTTTGAGCACTGGCATAGCCAGTTCTGAAAACTCTAAGTCCTTGGGGGCACGCGACTATGCAGGGCCACCCCCCTCCTCACTGCTGCAGAGCCCAGGCCAGAGCCCCCAGCCCACCAGGGAGGGCTCCCTGAGCACACAGCACCCACCTTCACAGCTATATCCTGGAAGTTGCTCCCAGCCCAGCGGACCACGGACCCCAGTCGGAAGATGGGGCAGTAGTGGTTCTTAGGGCCAAAGCGGCAGGATTTCAGGAAAGCCATGTTCTTGCTTTCCAGCACATTGGTCCTGGAGGGAGGCCATGAACAGCCAGTGAAATGAGGGTGACACTCGCTGTTCCCGGGCCTGACTCAGGCGTCACTGGGCCCTTTACCCAACCTGAGTCCTGACCACCACTTCCCGCAACTAACATCTTGCTCCAGCCAATAGAGCCCCACGCCCACAGCAGGGAGAAGAGGTGCCCCAGCATCGCCCAGCGGTTCATTCCCATACACATGCGCAGCACGCACATCGGCCATGCACAGCCACAGGAGGGCCAGCCGAGGGCCCATCCCTGGGTCTCCAGTAGCCAAGCCCCACATACTTGGAGAAGTTGAATCTGGGGAAACGAATGAAGTTCTTTATGTAAATGGTGAAGTCTTCAGCGTCCCTCAGAAGTGGCTTCCTGAAAACCAATCCCAGAGAGCCTGTCCAGGAGGCCCTGCCCTGCCCCCTACACGCCTCCCCCAGGCCTGTGGCAAGGCTGAGGCCTGTTCTCTGGGCCCGCAGGAGCCCTTGCCAAGGACAGTGAATTTGCTCCCGCGGGGTGGTCCCCAGGCCTCTCTGGAATGTTCTGACTTCTCCCTGAGAATGAGATTCCCAGAGAAGCCATATTTTTGCCCTCAAGCTGGGACACACTGCACAAGACTAGGTAACTCCTCAGGGTCCCAAAGCTGCAGCCACTCACGCTGGCCTGGATTTTGTTTCTACTGGGCACCAGGCGAAGATCTCACAGGTGCCCCTGGACAGATTCCCTGCCCACAGGCAGCGGCCAGTCTTCACACCTGCAGGGGTGGGACAGGGACAATACCAGGAGCCTCCCAGCTCCAAGTCTCCCTTCAGCCCCCTCCAGCCCTAGCCATTCCAGGCCCTCACCATTTCCAGCTATAACAGCTTCCCCAGGGTGGCAGTCGCTGTCCCTAGAGCACATGCCATCAGGAATGTCTTCACTCTGCCAGGAGAGAAAGGGCACCTGGGTGAGGAAATTTCCCCCAGCTCAGAACCAGGTCTCACCCCAGGGGTTAGAACAGGGGTTCTTCCCCAACCTGGGGCCACATGCCCTGTGAGAACTTGCTTCTCCCCCAAACAATGCAGGTACCGTGCACGGGTGCACGCAGCCTCCCAGGACCCTTAGAGCAGATAGGGACCCCTGCCTCAGAAAAGGGGTTGACTCCAGCCACTGCTGGTGACTCTCCCACCCCCTCCCCAGATCCCTGTGCCAAATCAAACCTCAGCACAGGTGTCCTGTCGCTGGTTGGGGGTCATGATCAAGTTGGTAACAACGAAGAAGACATTCTCTCCCTGAGGAAATAGAGAGGGGATGAGGAACCTCCTTTTGCCCTCTTGGGGACCCCCCTTCCCAGAGCTGCTTGGCAGGGGGTGGGGCCTCTACATGGGTGTTGGGGACAATGGGGCCACAAAATTGGTGGACTCCGCCATCTGCCCACTGAGCCCACAGTCTCTGAGTAGATGTCCTTTGATAGGTCTCTTCCAGGCCCACAAACCCACCCCATGAGTTCCTACTCTGACCTTAGTCCCTGGGATCCAAGCCCAAATCTGGCAGAAGGGGCAGCAATAGGGCTGTCCCAGCCCTGGCCCAGGCCAATTATGAACAGGCTGGGGAGCAATTCCCAGGGGCAATGGCATATAAATGAGGGGTTCTCTGTCCCAGGCCACCTGGCTGACAATGATCTGAAATTCTCTGGGCCCCATTTGGTCTTAACAGACTCAGAGATAGTTGGGAAGAGAGATCATGCACGGCACAGTCAAGGAGGGCAAGGGTGTGGTGCAGAGGGGTAGGATCTGATAGGATCTCTATCTGCAAACCTTGGCAGGCTTCCTGGGCCAAGGAAGACAATGGATGGAGGTTCCTGGGTACCTAAGCAGCTTCCCATGTGACCCACCGTGAGCCAGGCCCTGCCAGCATGGGCCCCAGTGCTAGGAGGGGGCTCAGACCTGGGATGGGATGACGTAGTCGGCGACATCCCAGAGCCGCTCCCCAAGCTCTGAGGTGTTGGTGAAGGCCACACCCTTGACTTTGGTAATAATAGCACTCTGCAGGGAGGTGTCGACCTCTTGGTAACCCTTCTTCACCAGGAATACCCATCTGTGGGAAGGCAGCCAGCAGGAAGGCATCAGCCACGTTGCTGCCTTCAGAGAAGTTTCCCCAGGCCCAGGGTGGGGTGAGAGTCACAGCAAGTCCTAAGGGGGTGGGGCAGGGTCGAGGCTCCACCCAATCCATCAGCTCCTGGCCAGGGGTCACAGCTCCCACTATTGCCTGAAATCCAGCCCTTCCAGCAACAGAGGTGACATGCAACGCCATGGGCAGGGGCTCTAATGAGACAAAGACCACAGCTTTCAGGAGCTGAGTCCCAGAAGTTGGACAAGCCTAGGCTGAAACTGGCTCAGCCACATACTTCTATGTGACCCAAGCAAGCCAATTACCTCTAAGAGCCTTGGTTTCCCATATGTATCGTGGAGAAAACAGAACCTCCCTCCAGGGGTTGTGGGATGATTAAATGAGGTGGTGCAAGACCTGAGACTAATGAGGAGACCTCAGACAAACCCCAACTGAGAGGCATTCTACAAAATAAGAGTACAAAATCCTGCATTCTTTGATACCAGAAACAGAAGCAACAAAACAAAAAGTAGGTAAGTTGCACTTCCTCAAAATGAAAAACTTCCGTGCAAAGGACAGTATCAAGCAAGTGAAAAGGCAGCCTAGAGAGTGGGAGACAACGTTAGCAAATCAAATATCTGACAAGGTTCTAGTGTCCACATTATGTAAAGAACTCTTATAATTCAACAATACAGACAACAAATAACCCAATTTAAAAATGGGCCAAGAACTTCAACACACATTCCTCCAAAAAAAGATATACGAATGGCCGATAAGCACATGAAATGACGCTTAACGACATGTCATTAAGGAAATGCAAATCAAAACCACAACGAGATATCACTTCGCACTCATGAGGATGGCTATAATAATTTTTTTTTTAAAAAGCTGAAAATAACACATGTTGCTGAGGATGTGGTGAAATTAGAACCTTTGTGCATTGCTGATGGGAATGTCAAATGACGTAGCTGCTGTGGAAAACAGTTTGGCAGCTCCTCAAAAGGTTAAAGATAGAGTTACCAAATGAACCAGAAATTCTGCTCCTAAGTGTATACCCAAGAGGACTGAAGACATATGTCCACAAGAAAACTTGTACATGAATGTTCTTAGCAGCGTTATTCACAAGAGGCAAAAAGTGGAAACAATCCAAATGTCCATCAACTGATGAATGGATAAACGAAAGGCAGCATATCCATACAATAGGATATTATTCAGCCATAAAAAGGAATGAGGTTCTGACACGTGCTACGACGTGGATGAACTTTGAAACCATTATGCAAAGTGAAAGATCCTAGACAAAAAAGGCCAAATATTACATGATTCCATTTATAAGAAATGTACAGAATAGGAAAATCCATACAGACAAAAAGTAGATTAGTGGTTGCCAGGGAACGGGGGTAGCGAGAATTGCAATCGACTGGTAATAGATAGAGGTTTCTTTTCTGGGTGATGGAAATGTTCTAGAATTAGACAGTGGTAATGGTTATACAACATTGCAAATGTACTAAAAAGCACGGAATTGTATTTTTTTTTCTTTTTTTCTTTTTGTTGTCTGGCTGGTATGGGGATCTGAATCCATGATGAACTGTCCAATTTTAAATGGTTAGAATAGTGAATTATACGCTATGTGAATTTTACCTCAATTAGAAACTGGGGGGAAAAAACTTCAAAAAATGTCAATGTCATGAAATACAAAGAAAGATTCAGAAACAATTCCAAATTAAAGGAGACTAAGAAGACATGACAACTGGCTGGCTGGTTAGCTCGTTTGATTAGAGCATGGTGTTATAACATCAAGGTCAAGGGTTTGGATCCCTGCACCAGCCAGCTGCCAAAAAAAAAAAGAAAAAAAGACAAGAAAACTGAATGCAAGGCATGATTTCAGGTTTCCTTTTGCTACAATGGTAATGATTGGGACAATTTTAAAAAGGTCCATAGGCTGGATAGTATTGTTTAGTGTTACTTTCCTAGTTTTTAAACTTGTACTTGGTTAGGGCCGGCCCGGTGGCGCACTGCTATAGTGCGCCGCTTGAGAAGCGCGGCAGCGCTCCCGCCGAGGGTTCGGATCCCACATACAGACCGGTTCCCGCTCACTGGCTGAGCGAGGCGCGGGGGCAACACCGAGGGTTGCGATCCCGTTGCTGGTCCCGCTCCGGTACGGGGGCGACACTGAGAGTTGTGATCCGTTGCCGGACACGGAAAAAAAAAAAAAAAAAAAAAAAAAAAAAAAAAAAAAAAAAAAAAAAAAAAAAAAAAAAAAAAAAAAAAAAAAAAAAAAAAAAAAAAAAAAAAAAAAAAAAAAAAAAAAAAAAAAAAAAAAAAAGATAAACTTGTACTTGGTTAAATAAGATAATTCCTGCTCTCCCCGCCATGCGAGGACACAGCGAGGAGGAGGCCATCTGCAAGCCAAGAAGAGAGCCCTCATCACAACCAGACCACACTGGCACCCTGATCTCAGATTTCCAGCCTCTAGAACTGTGAAAAATAAATTTCTGATGTTTAAGCCAAAAAAAAAAAAAACAAAAAAAAAAGTATGTGGAAAAAATAGAATTAAAAGTTAAAGAAAGAGAGACAGAATTCCTTGTTTTCAAGAAATGTACACTGAAGTATTAAGGAGAGAAAGGACATCTCGTCTGCAATCTACTCTTAAACAGTTCAGGAAAAATTGCGTACACAGACACACACACACACACACACACACAGAGGTACCTCAAAAAGTTCATGGAAAGATTCGCATTAACTTTTAATTCTATTTTTTCCACATACTTTTTTTTTTGAAGTAGCCTCGTATACATACACACACAGAGAAAGGGAAAAGGACAACACAAATGATAAACTTAACATTTGGGGAATCTAGGTGAAGTGCATTCAGCAACTTTTCTGTAAGCCTAAAATCATGTCAAAACAAAACAAAAAAAAATTTTTTTGTTCCTCTGGAGAAAAAAGATATTTCTTTTTAAGAGACAGCACATGTAAATTACTTAGCACAGTGAGTGCCTGCACAGAGGAAGCACTCAGTAAACACAACTCATCAACATACTGTTGATGTTGCTGTTAATGTTAGAGATTGTCCAAGTTAACCCCCCTTGGTAAAACTGAAGCTCAAGACAGCAGGAAGTTTCCTGCCTGGGGTATACAGGAAGTGTGTGGAATGCCCTGCACCTCTCAGGGTGCCAGCAGGTTTCTCTGAATAGCAGGTGCCATCCAAGTTGTGCAGGCAGAGCTGGGACGCCCTGGGCTCTAGACTGTCATGTCTCCGAGGAACTCTGAGAGGGCTATAACCCTCGAGCCAAATGGCCACTTTAGTAGGGACATGCTGGGCCTGCCTGGACAGAAACATTAGGCAAACTTCATTCATTCATTCACTCATTCATTTCACCCCATGGCATCCCCAGACTGGTGGGGAGTCAGACATAGGCATTAAGCAAATGAACCCCCAAATAAGCTATAATTACACTGTGGGAATGCCAAAGAGGCAACGAGAGGGAGTTATTCCAGAACCAGAATAACCAGAACCCAGGTCTGGAGGATCAGTGGGTGTTAACCACGTAAAGGAGGAAAAGTGTGCCTAGCCGAGAAACAGCATATACACAGGCCCTCAGGTGAGAGATGGCCAAGTGTCTCGGGATGAAGCTCAGGGAATGCTGAGTGCTTGGCCTCCAGGAAGGAGCAAGGCAGGGTCAGGGCCGCCCTTCCAGGAGGAAATAGGAGGAACTCAACAGCATTTACTGAATGAGTAAAAGAACACACATCCCAGTTGTTTGGGCTACTTCATCCCTCCGCCTGTCCCTCCCCCTTCCCACCCCCACCCCCCCAGGAGTGAGGGCTCTGAACAGTGCCTGGCTGAGCAACCCCAATGAACTGCCCCCTCAGCTGGTGGTGCCAGCTCCTACCAGGATGGGGACAGGGGAGGGGGATGGTCAGGCTGGTGCGGGGGTAAAGGCCTCTGGGCAGGACCCCCCCCCGCTGGAAACCAAAGAGGCTGGCGGTGGGTGGGGTGACTTAACCGGAAGGGAGTTCGAGTACATGCCAGGCTGGTGAGTTGCCCCAGTCCCAAGTATGGCACTGACGCTCAGTGATTATAAATACCCTGCCTGGCGCCTGGGCCAGCTGCCAGGCAGGGCCCCTGGGACGACAGCTGCCACCCAGCCCCCTGCATCCCTGCCCACTTCTCATGGCCCCAACACTGGGGCTGCGGCGCTAGGGGAAGGAGCTGCCTGTGGAAAACCTCATAAATCAAGGAACCCAGAAGCTCCTGTCCACATCATATCACCTCCAGAGCTGATAGGGGAGTAGAGGGCTCCCTCCCCACCCGCCACCCTTACACCAAGGACGGCCCCCTCCCCAAGCAGAATCACAGACCCCTACTCCAGGGGAATCTAGGTCCACACGTGCAAATTCCAGGACCCTGGAGAAGGGCACGGCTGCGGGCAGCTGCCCTCCCCACCCCTCCCCCACCTTCCCGACAGTCCCCCGAGAACTCACACGAGCAGGTAGGTCAGGATGGAGATTTGCAGCAGCCGGTAGAGCAGGCCCACCTTCTTGTTCTTGGCGATGACAAACTTCTCGGTCTTGTAGTCGAACATGGACAGGCAGAGCCCCTTCCAGCCCGCCTGCCCCATGCTGCCGTGCCGCCTGGGACGGCCGAGCGACCCGTCGCACGTGCGCCGCGCCGGAAGCCGCTGCCTCCCCGGGCGGGACGTCG